AAGGAAGGAAGGAAGGAAGGAAGGAAGGAAGGAAGGAAGGAAGGAAGGAAGGAAGGAAGGAAGGAAGGAGAAAGAGAGAGAGAGAGAGAGAGAGAAGGAGCCTTCACTTGAAGAAATTCAAGTGAAACGAAATAAATACCTGACAAGGAGGGCAGGACTTCAAGGAGTGCTTCTATCTGACAGAAAACTAGATGGCTAATGTTTGCTGTGATTATTTTCTATTGCTGAACCTAATTCAAAAGCAGTGAGTACAGAATAGCATAAAAGCTGAACAACAGAAAATAAATCTATGGATRCAATGTCTTCATCTACATCCTAAGCAAAAATAGCAACAAGGGGGAGCATAAGGCAGATAGCTATTGTTCTCTCACTCTGCAAATTARGAGAGCAGGGTATTTGGTGGAGGGAATAGGTCATCAACTGTCTCCTTATTTCTTCTGCCTAGCCAAGAGCTGGCAGATTGAGTACTCTCTTAGTGTCAGTGCATTGTTATGCCAATCCAGAGGCACCGCAAAAGCTCAGAACTTAGTTGCCTTAGAGCATGATGTGAGTCTGATGTGTTTTTCAGATGGTGCACTTTTCAGGCACAGAATTTAGCCCAAAGTATCTCAATTTTGAAATAAAGTTTTGAAGACGTCTAAGGAAATTTATATTGTTTTAACATACATGTAAGAAGAACAGGAGGGAAATGAAAATTACAGCTAGAGCTCCCTTAGATGCCCTTTTTTTAAATTTAAGTGTGTGAATCAGACAGACTGCTAATGCAACAGCCTTGGCAAAGTGCCTGAAAAGACGTAGGAAAAAGTCATCTGTTGAAGGTACTATTTGCCGAATCTGAACTTTTGCTTTATTACTGTACAATAAAATGAGCAATCAGTAGAGAATTGGGGGTGTGGATGATTGGATATGCTACTCAAAGACCTCTGAAGTCAAAGAGAGTTGAAGAGGAGGTCTTGAACAGTTGACCTAAAGTGATCTGTAAGGCTTAATTCTTGGCCTAAGAAAGCTCATACGTACAGGCCTGTGCATTGTAGTGTGAACTTGCTAGAGTTCACTGGATGTAATATCTTCCAGCTGTGGAGGACAATGAATGCCTAAGTCCAAACTTCCTTCCTAAAAAGAAAGAAGTGCATAGGTTCATCTAGTTAACTCTTTAGAAAAACACTTATGATGTGACAAGGTTATGCGGTTAACTCTTTAATTTCCTTTTATATAGCTGTGGAATACTTACAAGTAGTATGTACATTTCTAGTACATTTCTATTAAAAAATGAACCTCATGTCCAAACCAGATGACACCAGACAGAACTTCTAGTCCAGTTAGTAATAAAAGTCAAAAGGATTTGCTCAGCATTATTTGGGTCTGTGAGCTGGTTATAGCAAGGTCGTTTTCCCTCCAGTATGTTCCTTTCTCTCTCTGCATCCCCACTGTCCAGTTTATCAAAGGCAGTGGTCAGCGATGACATATGCTGGGCTAGCCGACCCAGAGCTAGCAAGTAGTGGGAAGAAATCTCCCTATGGGAGGTAGTATATGAAATACTTGAACTGCATGCCAAGGCATATTAAGAGACATATCACAACCTAGCGTTTAGTTGGGATAAGGCAACAATATACACCAAAACACAAGAAGGAGCCTAAGTACATAATTAATTCAAGTTTTAAAGAACAAAAACTCAGGCCTTGCTGAAGATTGTGCCAAAAAAAACCCACCCAATTTCGTAATCATAAAAATCATAAAAAGTCCCACCCTTAGCCAGAGCATGACTGGCATAAGACTGTCTTTAAYACAAATTTGCAGTCCTTGTAAATATTTCTAACTTGGGATGCCAGAAATGAAGCATTATGCTCTAATTCCATTCACTTTTGGTCCTGGCACCTGAGGTTCCTACAGCTAAAATGGGATGGTATTGGTATGCCCATTAGAGATGCTTTTCATCTCCCAGCTCTACAGTCCTTTACATTATAGGTGCATTTAAAAATTTGTCCCCAGTGACTTAATATTCCCTAAAGACGACAATATCTTAAAATATTTTCATCAACAGAAAGGCTAATAAAGCTTATTTGTATCACTTATTAATGAAGGGAGCAACTTACTTGAGTCCCTGAATGCCACATTAAAATTTAATTCATTTAAACTGTATTGTTTATTTGTTTGTTTGTTTAAAATAAGACATGACTCATAATGACTGGTCTTTTAAAAATCTGGAGACATCCTGAAGTTGAGGCATTCTGTCTTCTTGGTAGCCACAGTATTTTTTCCAGCTTTTGGAGAGCATCCAGGTTATTACTTACAGGCATGAGTTGGGTAGAGGTTGCTCAGCTTCCTCTAGACTTCTTTCCTGAGAAGAAAAGCCATTCAGCATGACATTCCTCAGTAAAAGCAGCACTTCTCTGCCACAGTTTCGTGTTCCTAGATAGATGTAAACCCCCAACACAGGCAACTGTCTTAAAAAAATAAAAGAACTTGGGGCATACGGTGCTTGGAAGTTGGTGCCTGCAAGATGTAGAGAGAGGTTTTGTTCCGTCCTCCCTTCAGAAGCTGGCGTCTGTTCAGCAAAACTGCTTAATCCCTTCACATAGGCTCATTAAATATAGAGTTCTAATCCCAATTCAGAAACATTCTCGATTTAGGAATAAGGACACGATATGCTCAAGGAAAGTGGCAGGGAATGTGATGTTGAAGCCCTCTCTGCATTGTTTGGTGATGCCAAGTGTTCTCTAATTAGAAGTGGTACAATTTGAAATGCTATCTCTCCATACTAACTCCTAACCCATATTTGACTCCTACCACCCTCCTCCTAAAAAAAACCTTTTCTTGATAATAAAGTGTAAAATCTGCACAGGCAGAGAGGTTCTTATTCTTGCAGTTCAAAATGCCTGGCATGTACTATATGTATAAAAAGCACAWAAGTTTCTTGGAGCACTTAGCCACTTACAAAGAAAGAGATCAGCTGAAGAAAAATATGTCTAACCAGATTTGGGCACAGTCTTCAAGCTTCTCCTAGGTTTGATGGTATTTGGATCCAGGACTGTGGTTTGGAATATATCTATTTCAAGATAAATAAGTAGTAATAGCATGGCAAAGAATCTTATAGAAATGGTTATTTTTGTTCAGACATGGCCCTAGGGTGTTAGTAAATTTATAAACATTGTTTTATGAAAATTGAGATCATTCTTGGAAATGCTGGCTAAAAAAAATGACCTTTTGTTGTTATTGTATTGTATTCTTGTGTGTGTGAAGCTATTGTTGCTATGGAGGTGATAGTCAGTCCTTGGTAATGGCTCTCTCCATTTGTATGCTCATCTTACACTGTCTGGGAGTAATGAACCAGAATGGGGTGGGGGCAAAGGGAATGGGAGTAAAAAAGTAGAGAAAAAAATAAAAGTGACTGCTGTCACTATTGCAAAGGCTGTAGGAGACTGGGCCATTTCCACTGAAGAATTAGGAAAAACTGAGCGCTAGTGTTCAAATGTTGTATTGGTGTATTCCCCATTGAATAATACTGACTTCAGAGGGATTGCATTGTTTCTAAACCAGTACAGAGTTCAGCCTCAGACTAACGTCTAGAGAAGACAGGCTTATTTACATCTGCTCAAAGAATTGGCACATAAGTTCTCTTTTATCAAAGTCAAAACACTCTACAGTGTGTGCAAACATTGACTACCACAGAAATGTAGGCAGTCTCAGAGACCAGCAGTGAGCTTGCTTTCAACCCCTGTTGAATTTCTGACAAAATATACATGTCCTGTCTCAATCCTGTATAGTCCTGCTCATGGGGATGTTCATCTTAGTTCATATAGTGAATGGACAGGAGCAGGTATCTCTAGAGAGGAGTTTAATTTGTTAATTTGTCCTTATCTTAGATGAGATGGGTCACTATTTGGAGGTGTTATTTTGATTATAAAAGAACCACAGAGTAAAGAACCATCTTTTAGATGAGTGAAGGAGAATGAGATGAAATTTATTCTTAGACTTTTCTGTCTCAATAAATAAATAATGTGAAGTACAGGAATGTATTCTCAGTTAGAATGTATATGTGTTTATATGAAAAAAAAAAAAAAAAAGTAAAAATAGTGACCCTGGCTGAGGATTTGGTGTAGTGTTTGCTTTATTGTCACACCACTTTCACCCTAAGTTTTAGAAGGCCATTAAGTTGCCACTTGATGGCCAGCCAATCCAGGGAGAGAAAGCAAAAAGTCCTGGAAGTTTAGACTATTATACAGTCTAGAAATGAACACAATGAACAGTAGAACCAGTCACTTAAAAGAATACCTTTATCTAAATAAATTTCCTTATTCTGTTTAGAAGAAAAGTGTCTTTACTGAGCTTCGTTACAAAGATGTGGCAGGTGCAATCACATAGTTTTGTCCTAGATTCTCCTTTTTAGCTTGTCTTATCTTTTACCCATAAGGCATCTGTTATGACTAGTTAGTTTCAGAGCCTTCCAAGAAACCTACTTGAAAACAGAAACTCAGCTCATCTGTACCCTCTGTTTTCATGTTTCTGCACTTGATTAGTTTTCATTTTTATAACCATGTTGCTACAAACTGAAGGCATCCAACAACTCTTCAGAGTAAACACCAAGGGAATTTAGTCTGGGCTACAAATTTCCTGTTCAATTTGACTGTGCTCAATTAAGTGGTGCTGTAATGCAGCTGACCTCAGGGCACAGCCCTAGGGAAATGTGATCACCACTGGGAAGTCTAATTTTGGAAACAGCTTTACATAACAAGAAAACCTAGGTTACTGAGGCTGGCTCTTTGGGGAAATGGGCAGATATTCCTTTAAAAGGACTTACCATACTGGGACTAAATCTAGGTGGAGAAAGGCTGGAATGACAGAGGTTGGAAACAAACTACGAAAACAGGAAAGAACACAAAATTAAATTTTCTTAAATACGACATTCCCACACACCATCCCATGCCAAGATTGTTGGCTGGTGGTAGCAATCATGCACATGACACTGACCATCAATCTTTGACAAATGAAAGATTCTGTAAAAACCTACTATTAGTGCTTAATAAAAAATGTGACCGCTGGAGTGAGTTAGACCCAAAGTTTCTCTATGACTGTGGGCAACACCCCTCATGATCTGTGGCACACTAAACTTATTTTAAAAAAAATAACCACTGAAAAAGATAGGATGGCCCTGTCATTGGGATTCTGGCATAAGACTTCCAATATATGGATTTAATTACTGGCTCTGACACAAACTTCCTGTGTAATTTTGGACAAGTAACTTAAGCTTTCACTTTCTCAGTTCCACAGCTATAAATGTGGCCATCATTCTTCCTTTCTCACACCTTTAGGCTGTCTTTCCATTTAGATCATAAACTTCTCTGAATAGACTCTCTCTTATTACTATGTGCATATGCGGTACCTTGCCTGACCCTTGGGCCTTAGCTGGGACATTTGGACATCGCTGTGTTTATATTAGCATACAAATATGTAATTACTGCTACTTACTGAGATTTGTAAAAAATAGTTGAAGAAAATGGAAAGAGACTTATGAAATAAAAATTCTGCATTCTTCCAAATCTAAGACATATTTGATGTGATGTTTGCAAACACTTTGAATTGAATGATTTTTTGGAGCTTTTTTTTTTTTTGAGTGGCGAAACTTCAAGAGAAACAAAGTCCTAATGAAAAAATGCTGAAGCCATGTGAAAGTAACTTGCTCATCATTTCCTACAACCTCAAAAAAAAAAAAAAACCCTTTTTTATAATAAAGTAATGCACCTTGGAAGAACTCCAAAATCTCTTCTACCCTAAGTGCTGGAGGATGATGCTATTGAAGTTAACAGGAAAGAAGATCTAGAGGAGAACAGGCAAGGCCAGTCTATACTATGAACGCTGGATTAGCCACATCCTATGAAGGAACTCTCCATATGTGGCCCAGAAGCAGGAGTATAGAAAGTGAACTCACCAAGTAGCAGTCTCTTGTGCTGTGTACTTGATACAAGGCAAAGGTTCTCCCCTATGAAGAAGACAGGAAACAAGTTACGTTTTTCAAGTAGGTTTCAAGTTCAATTTCTATGTATTATTTTCTTTGTCTATACCATGAATATTTGCTGTAATGAAAAGAGCGACAACAAAACAGTACATACTAAACTGTGTTATATTGTTATTGTTATTTTAAATTTATATATTCTTGATAAATATCTTGATAGATAGATATGCTGCTTGATCGAACAGAAAAGAGGCCTTAAGTTTTGATCTTGCCTCTACTGATGACAATCCAGCAACAAAAACACCATTTGTGTCTGGAGGGTCCATCCCTGGACACAGTATCATTTAAGGGAGTGACTCAAAAACTCACTAGCAAGGAGTTGTCCAGGCATACACTGCTTGGTTGTCAGTAACTTCTATGCATGGGTGACATTATCTCCTCTTCCCTTTTGCTGCTGCTTCTGCAGTCCTGTCCGTTTAGTGTGCACTTTTCTTCTCTTTTGCTATGCACTTGCTTTTGACTTATACTTACACTTTGTAATTGAAAGCAAGGTCAGCAAAGAAAGTCCTTCCTTTTCTGTGTAGCCCTGAGTTAAAAAAAAAAAAAAAAAAAAAAAAAAGTGTATTACATTAAGAGTATTTTATAGCTGGCAGAAACATTCAAAATGACTAGCCCTCAGTTTAGTGGCTTTTTGCTGAAGAAATGATCTTGAGTTTTATAAAGAGAGTAAGCCAAAGTCTGTTCTTGGTTACATCCATAACATTTTGCAGAAAATTTTAGGACTGTGCCCATAAAGGAAAGTAGCATGGCTTGGTGGGAAGATTTTTGAGTTGTTTGTAAATGCCACATTGCAGATCACTACACAAAGTTAAATTAAGTAAAGATGACACACAGACACACACACAACAACAACAAAAAAAAACACTATTAGATTACGGACATCTCTTCATTTGGGGAATAATTGAGAGTATAAATCACTTCCCTTCTATGTTAAGAACGAAGATGACAGCACAGGGCTGAGATGGGCATAACAGCACTGAGTTTGGCACCACCTTACTATGCCTGCATGATAGTCTATGATCCAGGAAAGGAAGGGGTGATGAGCAGCTAAAAATCATTAGAAGCATCACTGAATCTATAGAAAGTATAGACATTCAGATGAATTTCCTATTACCCATTTTTTTAACATTTGTGTTAAAGATGGATTCAGTGGTGTATATTCAAATGGCTTGTTTACTAAATAAGTTCTTTTTTTCCCTCTGGATTTACTAAAAGTGGAGACTCAAGCAGGATTTTCCAGGTATTGAGTATGAATAGACATGTGGAATCAAATCCCCTTGAATTTTACACCATTCATAATAAGAATGAAATCTGAAATCTGGCACTGTGTTACAAATATAACTCATAAAGCAGCGTTGATCAGCATCACTGTACAAATATTTATTATTCTGAAATATTCTGAATTTATTGGAATCATTTTGCATACTACAAGCCAAATTTCTCCCTTAGGTTTATTCACATAATTTTCAGTGTAGCAATAATACCAGTTATACTGCAGTTAATGAGTATTGTGTGCGTGAATCTGAGAGAAGAACTGGATCCCAAGAGCATATTTACTTTTGTCATGTGTTAGGAATATTATGTCCATTCAGATGCCATCTTTTCTTGTTAGTAGTTGTATCACATCCATACAAAACACATGGTAAAGCCATTGGTTCAGACTCGTGTCCATGCTATGACCTCTCTATTTTATCCCTGCTCTGCACAGAGCTCTGTACCCATGCTCTGAACAGCAACAGCCTCCCCAGGGGAGCACCAGAGACCATAGCCAAGTGTCAGGATACCCCAGCAAATAAATGATGTTACAGGGTCATTGTTTTGTTGTTGTTGTTGTTGTTGTTTTACTATTAAAGAGACATAAAGAGATGTGAGAGAGTAAAGTGGAGCCATTAGGATGGACATCCTAACCTGCATATTTGGCAACAAATCCATATGCAGAAATCTCTGGAGAGCCAGATGCACATCACTGCATTTGTTACTTTTCCCTGTTTTCAGCCTTGCTCAGCAAGACAGTCCATGACCCTGAATCCTGCCCCAGACTGGTGATTTTCAATGCCTGAGGTAATTTGTTGCAAGCTATTTTATGCATTTCTACATTGAACTGCACTATGCAGTGTGAACATATCCCCACTCTATACTTCAGTAACTCTGCTCCACCATTAGTTTGGCTAACTCTGCTAGATCTCTGTTTTCAGCAGATGCTCTCTCTGATGCTCACACCTTCCATTTGACAACAGAGGAGTGAGACTTAGTCTGATTGAGATCAGTCCTTAGTATGCTTCCACTAACTCATTAGAAAACTTCAGAGATAGTTCAGGAACGAGATAACCTAGCACTTGGATTTCTATGAGAAAGAGATGTAGAGAAGAGTGAAAGAATTCTGACTAAGAGGACATAAAGTCTTGTAGGGTATTCTAGTTTCATAAATCATTCTCAAAATTGATAGTGGATCTGGAAAGTCTTCTGTGACACACAGAACTGTACAGAGCACGTGAGAAAGAAACAAAAAAAGGTTTATTTCCCTTGTAAACAGATTAGAACAACATTAATGCTATTTTGGTTAATAAAAGGGCCTAAATAAAATGGCCTAAGCAGAATTCAGACACTCATGGAAGAGAAGAATAAAATCAGGTAGATTCTGTTGACATCCATCTAAATCTTCTTTGCACTTTCCAGTGCAAATCTGGGTTTTGTTTTGTTTTGTTTTTTCATGCATGACTTCTATAGTGATTTTTACAGAAAAATTCCAAATAACTACGTGAATTCAACCTTGAGAATCAAAAAATGGCCCTTTGTAATTCTATTTTTATTTATATCCAATTATTATAATTTCATCTATGCCAGAGGTGGAAATTTTTGATTAAAAATATTTTTGTTTGTTTCTTTTTTAATGTCTTCCCAGTGCTTTGGCTTAGAAATTACCTCACTGGAGCATGACTCTACTGTACATTTTTTGACTTCCTTCTCATATTTACAACTGAAAAATTGAAAAGGAAAAAAAATTAAACAGGAGATTAGGTTAATGCCACTTTCTGGTGTCAGACTGATAGTGAGGTCAGGCTGTCAGACTCAGTTGTTATGGATGAGAAAAGCTCCATTTGTATCTGTATTTGCCTGTGTCTGATCTCATAACTAACTGTCCTGTCTGGACTAAATGTCAGATATGTCAGATTCAGCTTTAGTCATAATAAACTGTACCTAAACACAGCTAGTGTGCAAAGGCTACAGATATATACTGATGTTGTTGTACAGGGCTGCTGACTCTTCCAGAGAATGATTAAAAAAAAAAAAAAAAAAAAAAAAAAAAGAAAGCGCCAAAGCTGTGTGAAATGGCTGAAGGAGCCCTTTGGCCTCAAAATGACAAAAGCTTTCCCCTTTACTTTGACTTAGGACTCTCTGAGGAGAATCCTGATCGCATCCACCAATGACTATTCCTTAAAAAAACACCATTTGCATGCCAGCTATATGAGCTCAAATAAACCTGTTTGATTTTATGCCTGTTCCAAACATAAGACAGAGAGAAATATGAGGAAAAATATGCCTCTAATACTCCCTTGCTCCAACAAACAAGCCAGCCCACTTTTAACACCTAAGTGTTTTTGTGATAGATCCCAATCCCAGCATATTTGAAATTAACAGCTTCTTCTAAGCACAGACCTCTCAGCCCCGACAAAATGCCTTTTCAGCTTCAGAAAGCTCTTCCCTCTCTAGCTGCCCTGTGCACTGTGATGCCTTTTTGATGTCCTCTCTCATTTCCTCAGAACTGTCTACAGATGTTTAATATTTTGTTGTACTCAACCATCGGACATCTGCCAGTAAAAAAGACAAATTCCTTTCTCTTTAGCAAACTCATTTGCCATGCTGCAGACCAGGAAGGATGGTAACAAATACAGCTCAAGCAGCAGAGTAGCCACTTGCAACATCTTGCCAGAGGGAAATATTGTTCTTAAACTGGAATCTTAGAAGTTGCACAACCTTCACACAAGAAAAAATGCCTGATGATCTTTTATACGGCTATAAGATCCACGCTTGGCAGTGGATCTGCTCCCTGAAAGAATATCCCTTGCTTCTCTGCCACTCACCATCTGCTCAGGACCTGTAAGCTCACTAGTGATCCTTTCATCTTTCTGCATTCTGAAAGCTTTTCCCAGCTGGTTGCACTCTGCTCCTTTCAGTTACAGAGCAATTTACCTCCAAAGGCTCCCACTAGATCCAAATGGCTGGAGCCAAGACACCATAAAGAAGCACCTGCTGAGCTTCTTGTTTTGCTGTCTTTCTTTGACATCTCCCCTCTTACTATAAAAGTGTCCCACCATTTTTCTCACCCATTTCCCCAGCCTAGTTGAAGTGGCTGTCTTTCCACAATGATGGAAACAGTCCAACTTAAGTGAAAACAGTCACGAACTGAAGGAAAGTGAATACAGGCACGCCTGCTTTCCAAACTTAAATTAAATTAATACTATTATTAAGTTAACACTAAAAAATACCTCCAAAAAGAAGCAAAAACACACCATCAGATACATATGTTTCTTACCTTTGGCTTCCCTGCTAGTTTTCACATCCTCTGCTATTCTTTTTAAGGAGGTGATAAGGATATTAACATCAGCTCTATGAACTTCACATTCAAGAAAAATGTCCAAGTCATCAGCAGAGTTCTTGGGCTTTTTGGCTTGTCTAGTTTCAAGCTGATAGATCTGAGTTTCAAAGGTCTGCAAGAGCCAGATGTTAATATGGTGAAGCTTCTCCAAGGACTGAAAAGCCAAGTACGTCTAGACACACTTCTGATATGTCTTTACAAGATGGCTAAAAGAGGTTTTAATAAGAAGTGCATGTTAAGCAGTGGACCTAGCAATGCCCAGATTAGAAATAGCTTATACAAATGCAGAGTTAAAGATTAAACGCTGCAGAATTAGGTAGAGAGAGATGGAGATGAAAGATGAGATACTCTTCACTCTGGCACTTCATCTGGGCAGAAATAGCAAATGAATGACTGTGTAACTCTGAGAGTCTGGCAGAATGAAAGTAGATCTATTGATGTATAATAACACATAATCATTAAATAATTACAAACTAAAATATGAAAAAAATACAATACTTCTCTTTTGAGTTATTCATTTTCCCTGATCAGACTGAGCACCTGGTAGGGATGTTTCATGTGTCCAGAATTTTAATGCCGGTATAGATTACAATTCTTGTATTCTCTGTATCTTCTGTCAAACACTTAGTGAACATCTATTGGCTCCTATCCCCTCAATCAATCTGAAGTACTCGTTCTCGAAATGTTGCCCTGCTGTTTAGCAGTGGCTAGTCACCATAACTGGTTGAAAGAAATATTACACTCATATCTGCTATGAGTATACAGCCCTCACATAAAACAGCAGTTCTTCTTATCAGCTCTGTCCAGCTGCTCCCCATCTCCAGCACACTTTCTCTGGAGAGGTCATCCAACCTCCATGAACAGCTGGCAGCATAACACAAATGATGAGGAAGAGGGAAAGCAAGCAGAAGACGTCAGGAGCACAGGCAAAGAGAGAAAGAAGGGTTAAAAATGGGGAGATACAGGGTGGGAAAGGAGAAGGCAATAGGAGTGGAACAGAGGGATTTGGTGGAGAACGGGAATGGCAGGCAGGTAGTCTGTACCTCAAAGACTTTGGCTGCTCCAGAGAGCTCAGTCTTCCTCACTGAAGGTCAGGATGTGTGAAGGTCAGGATGAAAGTGGCTCTTCTGTCCTCATTGTGGCTCAGAATGTCTCACCTGTTCAAGGACTCTGAGCAACGTATCTCCTTCTTGCCTGCCTCTTCCCTTTGGCTTGGGATCACCATAAAGTCAGTCTTCACTGGGAGTCAGGGGAGCAGATTGTGATTGCCAGCTGTTGAGTGGAAACTGCCTGAGGATGTAAGTGCGTCTTCCAGGATTATGGCCGGGAGATGCCATGTGAGCTGAGTTGCACTGGGCTTATGTGGGTGGTGTGAACAGAGCTGCCAGACAGCAGCAAGTGGAGTTGGCTCCTACTGAGTGAGATGTGGGGACATTTATGTTGGCTATGCCAGACACATCAAGGGAAATTGCCTGCGTAGGTTGTGCACAAGAGCCCAAGAAACACCTCCTTTTCTGGGTGACTTCAAAACAGGGCACTCTTGCTCTGTTTGAATGTGTCTTAAAGCCAGTCCTCACTGAGGATGGGCATTGTGAGGAGCCAGTTTGCCTGAGCCTCTTTTAGATATCCTGTTTTGGATTGTCCTGCCCCATATCTGAGACTGTCCTTCATTCTCCTCTTTTCTTACCCCACAGGGGGTCCCCTCCAAGCTGGACGTGCTCCATCTCCTAGGAGTCCTTCCACAACTCCTACTTCCATCTGAGTGATGTGCTTTCTATGTATACACAACTGTGGCAACATATATATGGTGCCCAGAAAACATGAGCAAAAGTCAAAATCTTCTGACTACTGTTGATCTTTTCATTAATGTCTGACCTGTCCTGACCCAGGCCCACAGAAGCTAAGTGCTGCCTCTGGGCTAAGCACTTTCCTAATTTCCACTACTGGAAATCAGGCAGTGTTTTTTTTTATCAGGATTTTGCATCTAGAAAAATAGCTGAGCAAAAAACCCAGGATCCATACTCCTCATGGCTAACAGGGCAGATATAAGGATAGCTGAGCTCTGCACCTGCCAAGGCAGAGCATCCCTTGTCATACACAAACATATTCCTGGGCCTGTGTGTCTGTTTCTTCTTAACCCAAGTTCAGGTGAACTTGGACTCCTGAGAAAAGCCATCAAGCAGGCCTACAGGGAAAGTCATTGATCTGTATTCCCACATTTAGATGGGATTCCCAGCGCACCTCAGGGTTGATCCTGGCTGAGTCATACACTCCAGTGTTGTCTCCCTCTTGACTCTTTCCTAGCCAGGGAAGTCAGAGCAATGACCATCTTATTTTGCTCTCCAAAGACCATGACATCACTAATTTTCTCCTTGCTTCAAGACACAGTACTTAGAAGGACTTAATTGCCCCAGTTATAGCCTGGCTGAGATGGCCAATCCCAACCGCCAATGTTGTCACTCCTTGCCCAGGAGACAGGTATGAGGATCCAGAGACCAACATCCTGTACACACCTCAGGCAGCACAGGCTTTGCAGCAGCATGGTAGCCTAGAAAGTGAGTTGTACCCCTGGGTGAGTGGAGCCCAAAGGACACAGAACCCACTGCTGCACTCCAGGGAAACAATACTCTCCTCCCCACAAACTCGATGAGAACCCCTACCAGCCCTTGGTGGGAAGGACAAGGGATCACTTCAAAGGTAAATGCACAGAGCTCAAGGGAGCACCAGTCTCAACAGCAGCTGCAGGATAAATAGTACAGATGAGAGGAGGGTGGGAAAGCAGGGAGGGATGGACTGTAGTGGGGAAAAAAAAGAAAGGTTCTTCTCCCTCCTGCCTTCCCCCAGCACTGGGGAGAGGGTAGGAAAACAAATAAAGCTAAGCATAATTGTTTGAATCTGGCCTGGGCCTGCCCCATGGAGTATTGCTACATGAGTGCCCACATATAGGACATGAACATAACCCAGATGTCCACATATGACTCTTGTTCCAGCCACATGTGGACAAACAGGAGAACACACAAGAGTTTGAGATGCATCTCTGAGGCACTGGCTAGAGATACTAGTGAGAGGAGGCCATCTGGCTCCAATGGCTTTCTAGTGCCACAATCTAATGCCAAAATCCCAACTCTGTATCTCTGTACAGAACCAGTAACTGCACATTCCAGGAACATGTGAATTCCTTTGTGTGAATTGATACTTCTTAGTACAGCCAGACTGGACTCATGACCTAACTGTGAGTGCAGAAGCTGCACAGGCAGAGCTTATTGTGGACTGTGGGCTATGCTATACAGCATTTTGCAGACCCAGCAGAGGGAGGCCTGGCCCTCCCAGCTTCCCCAGCCATTGGACAATCCAATGTCACCCTGAACTTTGCTTAGGGCAGTCCCATGAAGACCAGTCCCATGGACTGTAGCTCAGCCCTGCTGGAATTATGATGTATATTCCCCTCCCACAGAGACAGGCAGGTCCTCCCTCTGGAAGGTGGAGGTCTTCCACCTCAAGAGTGGGGTCAACCCTAGCAGTTCAGCCTTTGAGTTGAGAACTTAGAAAGATCACTGCCCCAGGCAAACTGCCTAGATCTGTTTCCATGCTGAAAACCATCATTATATATGAGCACAGTGCTACTCAGATGAAACAGATGGAGTTTTAATGTTTGCATTTATTTAGATTAAATGAAAATGCTACATTTGAACATTAAAAAAGTCTTCTCTGCCAAGTGCCAGCAGGGTTAGAAGGAGGGATGAAGAGACAGTGACAGGATTTAAAATATTGCATTCTTGTATACTCCTCTCTTTCAGCAATTTCAATAATTTCTGCATCCTTTGGGGATCATACTCCATATCATCCATATCCAATCATCCATACTCCAAGGCTGTTGCCCAATGTAGGCGTCTTAGTATGCCTAGAGGAGACCATCCTCCTCTGTAACCTGTGCTGACTCCACCTCTTGCTCCATCACCTGCCCTTGGCCTTGGCCTTGACAAAAGAAAAAGGCCCCATGAGGGGTCTTTTTCACTCATCTGACAGAGAACTGGAGGGTAGAACACCAAGAAATATGAACATGGTGGGACAGAGATTAAAACTGATCAAAACATGGGTCTAGGACAGCATACAACGATGTACAGAGTATGGAAAACAAGTGCAATTGAGCCTATGATGTAGATTTCTAGGCAATACAGTATAGATGATAAGGATTTCTACCAATATCAAGTGTTCTTTTCTGTCTCTTTTTCCTCTTAAAGCTCCACAGTCTTGCTCAGTTGAATGACACCCAACTAGTGCAAGCCAGACTCCTGTGATATAGACCCCACCTCATATGGGCTTTCTCCCTCAACTTGTGTATTTAACTCCTACCAACCTGTGTAGGTAGCTTACAAAGAAGAGTTACACTACTCAGATAAAACAAAAGACCTTTTCCTACACAACTTCAGTTTTCTTTAGCCTGAACATAAGTAGTCATCCATTAAAAAATACTGTTTGCAATGCAACATACATTAGGTTACTTAAAGCGCATATCATAGAATCATAGAATCACTAAGGTTTGAAGGGACCTTTAGAGATCATCTAATCCAACCCCCCTGCATACATAGGGTCACCTAGAGTATGTGGCCAGGACTATGTCCAAGGACACTTTTAAACTCGGTCCTCCRACACAGTTTATTTCTTCTGCTTTTGAGATACTGATCATTTAATTTTTTCTCTCCTCTCAGTCTTGTTGAATGTTATGCTGCTTTGGCTGGAGTTATTCCTCATTATACTTGCAGTAAGAGACATAAAATCATGCTTCTAACCAATTCTCTTCAACAATTTTTCATACACATGGTTTCTCAATATCACTGTATATTTACTGCCACTCTTAGGCATAACAGCAGCTTATATGAGGATTATTTGAAAAGACTTCACACTTGGGATGAAATTGTCCTTTTGTGGTACTGTTACCTTATGTGTCCTCTAATACCAGGAGAAATATGTGCTACTTTCACACTGAAAATACATGCCAAGCAGGACTGAATGATCTACACAGACATCATGAGGAGTAAAAAAAAGAAAAAAAGAGATGCAGAGATAAAAAAGCATACATCAAAGCACCAAAATGATACCATTTTGCATAAGTATACTTCTATTGAAAAGGGCTCCAGCTGGTATCCTTAGATTAATGTTATTACCCACCATAAATAAAATGGCAACAGCTGTACTTTCTGTCTTCCAAAGAATGATGCTTACATTAAAGCTCCATTGATTTTCAAACTATAAATACAAAAGTGGTACAACAGTAGGTATGTGACTTTGTGGACTTTTAAATCCCCTTCCATCTTTGTATCTTCTAACAGAAATGTGTATTTTTGAATCATTTCAGTGTCATGATTAAATTGTTCCAAGCTGGAGATACTGTTCAGTTTTGATCCATTCAGTTCCAATGTGTGGGTGCTGACTTCCTTTGTCCTTAAATGAGGGAACTACAGAGAGGCATTATAGACGGTAGAGCCTGTATAGACTGTAAATGCTAAGAAGGCATTTAGATGCCTTGAGTGAAAATTATTGAATAAAATTCAGAGACAGTTGTCTTGAAATAAAGCTGTTGTCTCTCTCTCATTCAGCCACTTGGTTAAGTTGTAGCAGGGCTGAATAAGGCACTGCTGTTAAAGCATCTGTGTGGCTTCCTGCTAGTGCAAAATGTCAACAAACCTCACACCCACTTGCAAAAAGCACCACAAAACTTTAGGCAACTCTAAACTAGGTAACTCCTCTAAAAGTATCTTTGTTTGTGGGTACTGTTCAGGTATTTAATTCCTTGAATGGGCAGTCTCGGTGCTTTGCTTAGGCACTCCTTTCTGCAAGTCAAATTGTCACAGCATGCACAGCATTCTTGGCATGCACAAACCTTTTGGGAATTGGAGCCTGTGCAAATACAGTAGATTAAGACAGAACCATAAATCTTTGTTAATGAGGCTGCAGAATACTTGCTGTCTTTTCCAGTAGCAACTGTGTTTTGGATCAATGGCAACATTATATTAAAAAAAAAAGTAAAATTACTTCAGTGAAGAGGAATTACTTCAGCTCATGTGCAGAAGAATAGGTGTAGTTCTCCCTTAGAAAGGTCAAGGCGTAAAGGGTCAAGCATTATAATACATCTCCTGAAAGGTGCAGAGCTTTGGACTGAAGAGGAATGTGAGCAACTGCAAATATGAGAGACTGACAGGAGGAAGACTGAGAGGAAGCAAGATGAATTAATCTGTGCTTGTCATTATCTTTCTGGCCCTGTGCCCTAGGTGGTAATGTAATCCTACATCTGTGACATGCTGTAGCTCTGCAGTATGGTGGAAGACTCCTTCTGCTAGCTTTTAGCAAAGAGATAGGAAGGATTTCCCCAGGCTCCCTGAAATAAGGTGGTTTTATGCATTAATGAGAAAAAAAAAAAGATTAATATATGAAGCCCAAGAGAGTCAAGGGTCACCTACAGGTGTTTCTCTGATAATCTATAGTAATTAAGATATATAACATAAGCATTTATGCAGTACATAGTAAGCTAATAGACTATGGCTAGATGAAGACTAACATTTGCACATGACAGCATTTTTAATCAGGAGCTAGTGATTAGCAAGACTTGTGGAAAATCTTCATTTTATCTTCTGAAGTGCATTGCATAGGATTCCCATCTCACCTGCAAAGGAAATAACCGGAGTAGTTAATCCTACAGCTAGCCCAATATTAACACTTCTATATAGATTTACCATTTATATCCGTTCTCTGAAAGGATAAGGTGAGCAAAGTGGTGAACTGCAGTCAGTCCCTCACCTTCATTAATCACAACAAGATTGCTCGCAGAATCAGGAATGACAACACTTGTCAGACTAGCCAGTTTTAGGTGGAAAATGTGGTAGAGAAAGGCTAGAATCACTAAAGAAAATGTGGCTAAAACCAAACTTTCCCCTCCTTACTAAGAAGAGGTAGAGCCACAGAGCCCATTCCCAGGCCCTGCAGTCTTTCCTAGCCCTTCCAGTAAAACTGTTTCAGATATGACAAACTATAGTCAATTGGAACTGCTATTTTGAAACTTGGATTGAATTGGAGCTTTTTTTTTTTTTTTTTTTTTTTTTTTTTTTAACCATAAACGATGTCTGCTATTTAATCTTGGTAAAGCTTAAAGCCTAAAAGGTATCCAGATAAAATTTGCATTGCAGTTATTGTTTCTGATCCAAAGTCTGAGGCATTCGAGGTAACAAATTTGTAGTTCCTTACAGTTGATAGTGTCAGCTAAGTTCTTCAGCTGCTTTGCATTGTCCAGGACTTCAATCCTCTGCGTGTAGGGATTGTACCGAACAGAGAAAGGACGAGGGATTGTTGAAGCAAATTTCCTGAAAAAAAAACATACAAACATGAAATAGTCTTTTTTTTTTATCAGTAGCTATCTCTTAGCTGGTGTGTGCATTTTTGATGAGAGGAATAAGGAAATTATGTTGAAAAATTACCAAAATTCTTGCTAAGTGATCTGAGAGCATCTGCATGCTGTAATATGCCTGAATCTGCATTTGTGTTTACTATTTTTTTCCCCCAAAGAACTAATTATGCTGTTAGCACGGGAATACTGCTGCTGATATAGGCCAAGTAAGTAGCTATCAGGATTTGCTGTGAATATCTGATTTTCCTTTCAGTAGTAGGAGTTACAGGAGTTTTGACCTGTGTTTACACTTTCTGGAAAAGTGAGATCAAATATCCATTCAGGCATACCTTGGAGTAAGCAGTGGACTAACTTCTAACATAGCTAGTATTGACTCCCAGGTATCTGAAAAGTTGGAGATGGTCAGTTGGGCAAAGTAGCAGTCTTGCCACCCCATATCCTCAGCCTTTCCAGCTGAAAAATGGTCAATTCCGTGGCAGAAATGCTAAGCTTTTTGGTATCTTGGAGAAACATTAATTTGCATAACCACAGAAATGTGGGAAAGGAAGGCTCTGAATGGGATGAGATGGTCAGAGCTATTGTTTAAGGCTCCTTGCAAACCCCAGCAGGACACCGGTTTATATATCTGCTTTGGATTAGTGGAGTTATTGCTGAAAGAGGAAGGAAATCACACAGAAGGGTTGATTATGGAGGCCCATCATACAGCAACTACCATGACTCAGCATGGCAAAATCCATACGCTCAGAACTGTGGAGTATGCTGCATTCCACCTCCATACTATTCCTTCAGTTTAGCCCTAATCGCCACTCATTAAGGCATTGTCTCAGAGATAGCTGAGCAGGACCAAAGAGGGTTCCAATGGAAAAATATTATGGTAGCTAAGATGAAAGAGGTTTCAGTCCAGCTGTTTGGTGGTTTCAGTCCAGCTATTTCAAGCAGAGGGATCCACTTTATAAGACAGTCTTCCTAAATCTCAACTGAAGACTAGATCTTGATTAGAAACTGAACACCTTAAGGTAAATTTTTTAAGGCAGGCCTCTGAAGAATTTTTCAGGAAGGTTTTCTGTTACAGATACACACATGTTCAGCTGTGCAATACACCACCAAAACAACTCCCAGGCCTCCATTTCTATTTAACTAGTGTACCAGTTTGGTCACTGAAACAAATAAAAGGAGAGCAAACATCTTTTTTAAAGAGTAAGGCCACATTTGCTGTCTTCTGCAGGAGCTTGCTCCTCACTTAGAGAAATACACAGAGAAGATGGAAACTGTGTGGAATGTTATAACAGCTCAGACCAGAAAAGAAGGTCAGCAATTCTGAGGTATCACCATGAAGGGAATGGCAGGAGGAGAAATTTCAGGTATCTAGAAAGACGTAAGAGTTCCAGAGGTTCTTCGGCAGCAATGTTGCTGATCACAGTACGTGTCTATCCATGAAAGGGAGAGAGGATAAAGAGGAAGAGATTACAGGTCTGGACAAGTCCCTGTGTGGCAATTCCCATGAAAGATTTGATGAGTGTGAATCAAGTCTAACCCACATTGGCCTTGGCTGACATTCAGAAATACTGAGTTTTCTAAACAAAAATAGAAGTATTGCTGTGAAGGGGATCCCAGGCTGAACCATAACTGCAGTCTGAGTCACTCCTGTTTCAGAACTGAAGCCCAGAACTGAACCTGGACCATGATAGTTTGGCTGAACTGGAACTGAATCAGAATGTGAGTCACAGATGATTGAAAGATTTATTGTGTAGCCCTTTAGTCCTGTAGGCAAACTGCTTGTAAGACACTACAGACTGTCTATCAAGATAACTGCAAAGGCCTCAGGATTGGGATCGTCAGGCTTGCTTGTGTTTTTGTTTCTTTTTTTTAACAGTAATAGCAATTGTCTAATGATCATGGGGATATTAACTAATTTATTTTAGCTTTGCTTAACTCCATATAATTATGTGCTATAATGCCTGGTAATTATTTTGCAAGGAGGAACATTTTGGCATATGGAGAAATTACAAGAAGTAATGCTGTGTGGAATGAATAACTCTGACCTTAGAGTATTGATATTGCATGTAGAAGTACAGTTGTGAGTTGACAGTAGATGCCTTAAAAGCATGGACATAGGATGATACTTGAGGCCTATGGACTACCAGCAATTCCCTAGCAGTCAACAATTCATGGTAATGCAAACCTAGGAAGTGCTAAAAAGTGGTTTTAGGGGAAACAAAAGGGGCAAATTTAAAAATATTTAGTGCATATAAAATGCACCACATGTAGCAAGATCAGAAGTAATACAGAGTTGCAGATTAACAGATAAAGAGCAAGTCCAAAAAGATAAAAAGGGCCCTAAGCAGAACTTGGGAAGAGAAGAAAGAAAGGAAGATTTAACAGGAGGAAGAAACCTTATTAATTAACATCGTATCCCTCCTCCAAAAATTTCAGGATGCTGCCTACTTTTCATCTACACTCGGAAGAACAGTGGAAGGATCAGTGTAACTTCAGAGAAAACAAAAGTAGCTACTAGGAGGTTTTCTTGTATAATAACTTTAACTGTAAAGTTAATAACATTGTGATTGAACTAATTATGATGTTTGTGGCATTGTGACTGGACTGATAAAATCTTATTTGGCTTCATGTATAAACTTCCTTCCCCTTTTTGCCCAAAACAAGATTTTGAGTGTAACAACTGCTTGGTCTCTTAGATCTTTGCAGTTTTTCTTAATGCCTATCAAAATATTACTGCCAATCCAGTATCTATCATGGGAGTGGGATCCACCCTATTGGCAGTGGACAAGAAATTTGATCTTATATAGAATTACCTTAAGTATTACCTTAGCTTTTCTTTCGCATCTTTAAAACTTTCAGAAACATAGTAGATAGGCTGGAACTCAGTAACAAGATACTTCTGCTCGGAAGTCTTCTCCAGGACAAGAGGCTTAATTTCAGGTTTACCTGATAAACAGTACTAAAAGCAAGAGAGTAAGGAATTATTTCAGTAAAAAGTGCCTGCATTTACTGCAAAAGAAAGTCAGAGTTACTGAATGCCACCCACTTGCAGATAGGAAAGATTTGCTTTTATGTAATGTCAATAACATTGCTAAGTAGGATTGAAAACTAAGCAGAAAAGAAGTAGGTTTGAGCCTTTGTGTATATGTGTTGGCACTTTTATTAAATAGACCTGTCTAACGAAATATGACATTTCACACCATTTGTTTGCACAAAAAATGAAGGAAAATAATATTTCAAAGACATTCACAAAAAAAGTTTGAGTGATTATATAAAAAAAAGACTGAACTATGTAACAGCTCTGAAATGTTGTTTTAATAACACACCTGCAACTCCCCAAATGAAGACAGCAGCCCTGCACCATATGCCTTCAGTGAATCACCTTCCTTACAGAGTCCAAACTCCACTGTAAACCAATAAACCTATTAAAAAAAAAAGAGATAGAAACATATGATTCCTTGATCAAAAACATATGCACATTGCTGATTTGAATGTAGGTGGAGCTTACATTTCTATTTCAAATCACAGAATTACAGAATGATTAAACTTGGAAGAGACCTTTGGAGATAACCTAGTCCAACCTACCTACACAAGCAGAGTTACCTACAACATGTTGCACAAGGTTGTATGTGTGCATGTTTCTCATACATCCGGAGAAGGACACTCTACAGCCTCTCTGGGCAATCTGTCCCTGTGCTGTGTCACCCTCACAGTCAAGTTCTTCCTCAAATTCAGGTGGAACTTCTTGTGCTTCAATTTGTGGTCATTGCCTGTTGGCCTATCGCAGTCTACTTCTGAATATAGTCTAGCYTCATCCTCTTGATATCCTCCCTTCAGGTACTTGCACACTCTGATAAGATCTCCGCTCAGACTCATTACAATGTCCCAGATATCAACTGTAGAGATTTTATAGTTTCCCCACAGGCTGAGATTCTTCCCCCCACAAGAAGGGGAATAGTGCCAGATCTAGTGTGTTTGAAAATTAATTTGCTTCCCTGGCAAAGACAGTGGTTTTTATTGTGCTTACATTTGTGAGGAGCATAGAGAATGAAACTATAGCAATAAAATTTCATTTTGGATGGCCCAACCACTGAAGTTTGAATCTGTGTTGATAGACTTATGTTTTCCTGTTTCCCACAGAGGAACTCCAGCTACTGCGAGGGAGGGAATGAACTGTCAGTACAACAGAGGACCCTAACAATGAAGATAGTGTGTGGCCTAGCTTGACTTTTTGTTCTGTCACTGTGTGGCAGTTTGAAGGGATACCTGTTCTGGATCAGTGGAATGACCTCATCTACCAGAAACAGCAAAGACTGGGCAAAGTTGTATCCAGATGAGTTGACGTCAAGTACACTATCTCATAGGTATATCCTCCTTTATTTGGAGCTTGTAATTCTGTGATCCATTTCTCTCATGGTAGGATTCAAGAGACTCAAGGCAAGGATTCAAGGCAGAAGACATTATCTGCCTGGCTGCAGGAAAGGGAAGGGATGCTAGCAGGTAATACAGATATTGAAGTTTCCTCTTGAAGTTTCCTGGGGGAATGAAGGCTCTTCTTACCCAGTATGTTTGTACTGGAGGAAGCCTTGTCTGGCCCTCTGTGTTTAATCAAAGCTGTCACTTTGAGTAAGGAATGCCAGAATTATTTTCCTTTAAAGCAACTGTTTCAGGGTGTGGTTTTCAAATCATGGATTTCATTCTGTTTCCATTCAACTCTATGGGAGTTCCACCAATGACTTCAGTGGCAGCAGAATTAAGACAACACAGAGTGCTTTGGAAAATTGAGCCCTCATTTATTAAATTACCGTAGCAAGTTTCTCGATGAACTCATCCGGAGCTCCCAGAGATGCCAGTCCTATTTCCTGTAACAATAAACCATTATTCTTCAAGCTGTTTATTACAAACATTCTTCCTGACATGTCTTATGTAATTTCTTACATTTTAAATGTTACCACCATTTACTACCACACACAAATGTTTACAAGACATGTTCCTATCATGCAGCATCAATTTTAAACCAGAAATCTCTCCAGAAATGAACAAAGGGTGCTGTCTAAGTGTCATTTACAAGGCATGATCCTTTGTGCCTGGTACAAAGACTATTGAGGTCAAATAATATTTTCCTTTTGCTTTGACAGGCTTTTAATCAAACCTACAATGCACATCAAAAAGAATGATACAGTAAAAGGGAGGTAAATTAACCACATCCATACACCTTCAATATTTGTCTTTTTTTTTATGGGGCCCTGATTGCAGGAGGTTTCCTGGAGACGTTAATCATCTTTTTTTTTTTTTTTTTTTTTTTTTTTTCCTGAGTAGCAGGTCATAATTTGAAAGAGTTTTTTTCTATCTTGCAGACTTTCCTGTGAGGAATATAATAATCAGATTCAGAATGCAGCTGCACAAAACTGTATGTATTAGGTACTTTCCCCCCCCCCCCCAGTGAGGTCAGTGCACTGCTGAATCAGTCCTCCCTATACACCAAAAATCAAGAGGGCAACCCTTGTCCTAAAGTTAAGTCCTAAAGAAACAAGGTATAGCAGGGTGTATCTCAAGGAAAACCCCAGTCTTGGCAAAGGGCAGAGCCGAAGGCAGTACTAAATGCTTATCGACTACTTCAAGTTAATCTCTATCTTGTGAGCATATAACATCAAATCCATTATTCCTTCCCTCCTTTACCCTCCCTTTCTCCTTCTTTCCTACTTTCCTTCTGTCTGTCTGTCTATCTTTCTGTCTTTTCTTGTTTTCTGGAAAGATGTAGCCAAAATTTTACTCCTTTTCTGAGGTTTGGCTCTTTTGCCAGGAACACTACCCAAGAGAGAGATCCTCTTCGGCTTTCTCCCATAATGGGCTACTGGGATGGTTCCTCACTTTCCCTAACTATTGGACTGTAGAGTGGGTCAATAACTCATCTGTCTATGGGGCAATTTAACATTTCCCAGAAGGATCAACATCTACAAAGAGAGTTTTAGCCAATGGGGTCACAAAGGGGGTTGCCCGTAAAAGACAAGCTCACACAATAAAAATTTGCTGTATGTAATTTGTGTCTCAGTTTCAATAAATAAATAAAGGTCTTCTTGAATTATGTGTACAATATAATTTTGTTCAGGATTCATCACTTACATGCCTTCAGCTGTACTTGAATAATAATATTCAGGAATGCAGCAATACTGCCTCCTTTATTTGGTTCTTGATAATACTTTTGAAGTTATCAGCTGTGAACACTTGTAATTTCAGCACTTACCCAGTACAAACTAGACCTTCACACTCAGTTAACCAAATAAAAAGGAAACAATTAACACCTCAATATTTGGAAAGGAAGATTCAGCTGACCTCAAACATTCTTGATCAATAAGTTTAAAGGTGAACCTCTCCATAACCCTTTGTTCATCCTCTGAATTAACTAGGCTCTGGTGTTTGACTTACCTGTGAAAACTGAGCAAAACTGGGATCAGCAAAAAGAGGTACGTGTCCTAGTAGCTCATGGCAAATATCACTGTAGGAAAACATGACATTTTAATATAATTTAGGAAAAGTGCAGCAGTGCAGGATGAATTCTTTAGAGCCTGAGCATAGTCAGAAGTGGAAAAAGAGGACCTCTCTCTCTTATTCGAGAATGATGCTTTGGAGTCTAAAGTGCTCTAAAATGGTTTTCTTGACCAGAAGGTTTGTACATCCAAGGGTTTTCAGTRTTTCTTTTCCTCATACATCTATCAGAGGTAGAATAATGTATTGTCTTTTTTTATCACTGAAGGGTGGCTGCATTGTTTGGGCTGACTTTAAGGATGACTAGTCTAATCTCAAGATCAGATGTTTCTTTTCATATTACAATCCAAAATTAGATGGTTAGCTTCCTAGTCCCTTTCGACAGTCAAGAGGGAAAGGGAAACTTTTCCTAAAAGCAGTTCAGCTCAGCCTCCCTAACGATGCCCATAGAGAATACCAAACGTGATGATCCTATCCAAGCTGCCAGAATGGTGTCATCCAGGACCAGCATCCAGTCTGGTCCTGGATGACACCAGACATCTCAGAAAGAGTCAGTTTTTGAATGGATACCTAAAAATTACTGTGCTGGCCCTGTAGAATCATTGCATAGACTTTCTCTAAGACCTGGGTGGCCACAGTATTTGAAAACACTTATTTCAAGGGCAGTTAAAGCCAGTAGAACAGACCACTGCACTTGTTAAATCCTACAAGATACGTGTGCAATTCTGGTCTCGGCAAAAGTCAAATGAAACTATGAGCAAGTGTCTTTGGAAAAGACACTCTTTGGAACGTCTTTGGAAAAGAAAACTGTCTTTCCAACTGTCCTCTTCCTCATGTAATAAAATGCCCAAAAGAAATCTCTCCACCAAAAGGAATGTTAAAAAGCTGGAAGATCGCTTTGGTTGATGACAGAGCTGCTTAGGCTACTGTTGACACCATGGTGTCAACAGGGCAATCAAGAGTTCACTCCTGGCCCCTGTTCAGACCCAGAGCCTCAGAAATGGGAGTTCACCCTTCTTCAGGTGGGATTATTTTCATGGCAATTTAAAGTTCACAGCTCAGCAGGCATGTCTGGGGAGAACTCAGCTAAATTTGACTGGGTTTTTTTTTTTTTTTTTTTTTTTTTTTTTTTTTTTTTTTGTGAAAAACAGAGAAGGGAGTTGATGAAGTGTTTGTATCCCTTTGGTAGGAAAGGAAGAAAACAGAATAAAAGGTACAGAGAATGGAAAAAGGGAGAGGGATGAGATGCTCCCAGGAAGGCAAGGTATGTTGAAGACATTTAAAGGGCAGGGATCTGCATAGCAGGCATTCAGGGAGACATATGCTCAGGAAATCTGGGCTCTAACAGCCCAGTCCAACAGAGAGTGAAGTATGATATATCAGCCTGGGAGCTTAGATGGAAAGGTGTAATCCAGTCTGTGAAAAACGTAATTCAGAGCTCTCTGCTGGAGATGGAGCACAAGGCTTGCAGGCACTGCATAACAGCATGGGCTGGGGGAAGGGTTTCCATCATGCAGCTGGCTCCAGTTTCCTTGGGCATTGATTGGGGAGATCAGAGCAAAGCAGTTTTCAGCCTGGCTTTGTGCAGAAGGGCAATGGGATGAAGAGAAACGGGGAGGAAATGCAGGAACATGCAGGATAATTGCCTCATGCAACTTTCCACATATCCCATGCCAAAGTACTTACGGCTCTGGTGTATACATGGGTTTGGATGCATGGCGAATGTACTGTGTAGAGTGAAACACTCGGAAGGCCAGCCCAGCCAAGAAATCACGAGAGGAGAGCAAACCTGCCACAGGACGTAGGCGAAAGCCGGTGCAGGCTGATAGGACAGAAAGATGGTATGTTAGAAACACCTAGTGTGTTTAATTTAACCTTATTAGGACTGGTCATAATGGAAAAATAATTACTCATTGTTTTTTTTCTTTTTTTTTTTTTTTGCTTCCCGTGTGCTAGTCAGCATTTAATTTCTACCCATGTATACCAACATCAAGATATCTGAACATCCCTGCTGTTATACCCTTGAAAAATTTACAGAGAGGGACCTGAGACAGAGGCTAAATGATGTGCTCAAGTACTCACAGGGAGCCTGTGATAAACCAGGAATTGCTTTTCCATCTCTGGAAACATTCCCCACCATTAACAGCAGAGGCCTTTCTTGGCCTTACTTGGATCTTTTTGATGCTTCAGACTTACATTGCAAGAATTTTGAAATATCTTCAAGTTGGGGGATGTTATCTTCCCGGTAGCCACAGTACTTCTCCAGCAATGGAAACACATGATTGTGTTCATAACAAGCATGAGTTGGATAGAGACTCTTCAGCTCCCTAAAGACAGTTCCCCATGTTCTCTTTTCCTCTTCTGTGTAGGTCACTTCAGGAATAGGTTGTCCACTAGAAAGAAAATGCATACAATCCATGACAGTGACAAAGAACCAGTCCTGGGTATCAGCAACATCATCTGGAGTTTTACTTGGCGCTAGCCAGAATCTGGTGGTGTAGGAGAGAGGATGTCTTTGTGCACCCCAGCTGAGATACTGACCATTAACCAATTTGTAGTGAAAATAAATTAGTGCATATTTGTCTTATCAAAATGATCTTATGATAATATTCAGTAGCTGATGGTTTTAATTTATTTCTCTCTCTAAATATTCAGCAACTGCTGCAATTCTTTTTTTTCTAATACAATTTACATAAATTAAAATATGAGTGATACAAAAAGTAGTTCTAAAAACCTGAATCTAGAGTGGTCAGAGTAATTGTGAGCCACACCTAACGATCATACTACATATGCAGACTTCACCCAGCTCTGTTTTCTTCCTTTAATTTTAATCAGTAATTTTGAGTCAAATCATATCCTCAGGCCTCCATGTGCTCATCTCACACTGAAGTTAACAGGCATTAGGCAATCATAAGCAAAGTATTTTGGCCTCCTGAGGACAGCTGCTTCCTTGGCAATAATGACAGGGCCATAGGTGAATCCAGCAGCTTTGAAAAATCAAAGGGTTTTAAGTAACTTAATAGGGTTAACATCACTGCTGGAATAATGCTGGAGTCTTCCAAGCCACAGAAATCCATTGTTAAGCTCTCATGACACCCCACCATCTCCCACTCCCTCATTTTTCACTTGAGCCTCAGGGCAGCTCCTCTATAGCACTGTCATTTTCTGCCTCTGCACATCAGCCCTCCTTGATCTGTGGAGCTTTAAACATGGTCTTGAATTATGAAGACTGCTGGGGGACTGTTCCTATAGCACCAGCTGTTCCTAATTAATCTTCAGCCACCTTTCAGAGCTAGAGGAGGAAGCTATGGCTTGAAAAGCTTTCAAATTTCAATGAAAAAAAAAATCCTAGATATCAACAGGGCTGAAAGCAAAGTAAAATGGAGAGAGAAGAGCAAGTAAGCTAAAAGCAAAGAAAATAGAGGCCAGGGAAATGAAGGCATTTAACAAAAAAGAAGGCAAATGTATTGGGAGAGAAAGCAGAAGGCATGGCAAATGCGGAGGAAAGAGAAAAATGGCAGTAGAAAAGAGGACAATTTAAGTAGAAGTGTACAGAAATAGATTATATATAAAAAGAGGAATACAGAAGAAAAAAGAAAAAGATTACATTGATAGGGGGAAGAAAGGCATAAGACAACAGGTTTCAGAGCTGCCTCACCTTTGCAGATGACTTCACAAGCTAAACACATTTGCCTTTCTAGGTACTTTTGCATGAAGTCTGATAACTTTGGTTGTCCCTCTCCTCCTGCCCATGCTCCTTCCACCCATTCCCACACAGAGGAGATGCCTATTTGGCCTCTTCCTCCCTGCTGCAGACCCTGGAAAGTGTCTCTGCCAGGTGTAGTGCCCAGGACAAGGGCACTAGGGACACATCAACACATGTCTAAATTAACATTCAAGCTCATTAAAAACATATGTCCATGAGCTCAAGAAGCTCAGACTGTGGCACTCACACTCTGCTCTTTGCTCTGTCACTGAAAGAGCTCACTTGCAAGTTTAAGAATTAGGTATAGAAGGTGTTTTGGGGACCATTAGGTCCAGATCTGAACAGGCTGTTAGCTCTGTCTGCAATGTCTCTGAGAATCTGGATCACAAACTAAATATTAATTCATTATGTCTTGGATAATGTTTTCTTATCTTCCTAACTGGTTCTAGGTTGAATCTCATTTGCTTGCTTGCTTACTTGTTTTTGTTTTTTTTTTATAGGTAGGATTTGATGGGAGTCCACAAACTGGAGGCCAAAGACTTCTATCAGTTATACAGGAAGGAAGCATCTTCTGTGGGAAACCTATAAATGGGAATTAATCCATTCTCTTTGGCCATAAAATCTCATCAAAATTTTCTACCCTTAAACTAGGCTCCTGACATTTTTCACTTCATATCAGTCAGTCCAATTTTGTCTCATATTTTATGATTAGCTTATTAGCTGTTTTGCTCAGGGACTATCTCTTCATCACTTGAACACTTGTGTCAAACAAAATAAAGACCTGATTATGCAATATATTTTACCTTAGCCTTTGCTTTTACCAATCTCTGCAAGAATCATGTCCAGTAGTACTGGTATGAATATGTGAAGGGCTTTAGGAGCCAAACTGTATCTCCTCCAGATGTGATTACTAAAAGTAATCAAGCAAGCCTGTTCTATCTGAATTTATCATCTCCATTTATTTTTTCTTGGAAAATGAGAGCCCAAATTGCTTATTGCAACTGGGTCAGACATGATAAAAGTAGAGTATCAGGCACTGTATTAGCATCAAAACCATAAGTTATTCATCATCTTAATAGAGTATGCAGCTCCTGCTTTAATGTAAATGATAAGCACTCCTCCCTCTCGTCCTGGTTTAATGGGGAGAATACCAGAAGTGGCTTTATTCAATGTTCAGGTCTTTATAGTAGCAACTGAGTCTGCTGCTCAATTAGACAACAAAGCAAGAGGGATATTGTTGGGAGAGATGGTCCAGGCACACGTTCTCATTTGAACGTGTGCCTGGACCAATTTACTTTTGTTTTACTGCAATTTGGGGATAAATGTGTGAACAAGAAGATTTAAACATATGTCAGAGAAAAGCCAAGAGCAGCAGGACACTTATGGAGGGATAGCGATCAGCAGGAGAGCGAGTGCCYGCAGAGAGGTTGGGAGACATGGGCTTGTTTTCCTTCACGTATGCTGAGCACTCACTGTCTATAGTTGTAGGCGATATCCGCAAACTCCTTCCTCCGAGCTCGGTACACAGGATCTTTGAACCCCTGGACAGAAACAGAGACAGGCATTTGCTGTGTAAGTCCAGCTGGTGAGCAGTCTCTCTCTCACAAGGCGCTCTCGGATGCGGCTGGAGGGATCTTAGGGAGCAGAAAGCTGATGAGGAGCCAAGCTAAGTACAACAGACGAAAGGAAAGTTGCCTTCCATCCTGTATATTTGCACTGAGGCATATCCTCAGGACTTACCTGTCTATCTACAGGACAAAGCAGGAGTGACTGGAGGAGTCACTCAGGCACAGTCTCCTTACCTATTTCTCCCCCTATCACCTTCATGCTTCCATTTGCTATGAGAAAGGAATTCAGGCTCCTTTTCAGCACAGGCTAAGCGCTCCCCAGAGAGCAACCTGCTGCATCAACAGTACTCGCATGACACTGATCTTGTCTTACATGAAACTTGTTGCAGTTTCTAACATAGCTGGTCTGGTCTAGAAGAGTTAAACCATGTTAGAAACACGCTGAAGATCTCTGTCAGACTGTAACTCTGTAAGTGGCTTTTCAGTTCAGCATGAACCATATTCAAAGGTGTTCATTTTTTAATGCTTGGGGAGAACAATAATCACTTAGAAAGATTAAAAGCCTCATTTATACTACAAATTTATTGGCATTTAATTTGATAGAAGTTGGAATAGGCTTTGTGATCAGCATCCTGGCCTCTGCAGTTAATTATCTATATTATTGGGGAGGTAAGAAATACAAATTCTTGATCTTCACGTGTTCTCCTGTCCTTTACTTAGACTATAAGTTCCTCAGGTCTAGGAGTGTGCTTTACCACCTACAGCAGTGAAATGTCCTTCCCAGCAAGGAAGCATTTCTACAGTGCAAATAACAGTAACTCAGTGGGTACAGATGCAGTTTGGAGGTACCTGACTTGGAGGTACATTGCTGAACTGGACTGAGGAACAGTGTAACCCAATTAAACTAGTGTGAAAGCTGAATTTAAAGTGCAGATCTAAGAGTTTATGTTAGGCATAGATGGACTAAAAATTTGCTGTCCCAGATTAACCTGTCATGGAGTTACTCATGACTAAATCCAACAATACTTAAGTACTAAAAATACAGGTTTCTTTAATTTATTTCTTCTTTCACTCTATGCTCTGTCATGTTTATTTACCCCAGCACACACATCCCATTGGACTTTTTTTTAAGGCAACTTGGATAAAACTGCTTACTAACTAATTAATTCTAGGAACAGTTAGGAACTGGGACAGAGATGCTTCATGCTTTTCAAAATCCATTTTGTATTTCTTTTCTTTTTTTTTTCAAGTACACTCTTGGATTATTCCTACATGACACACAAGGGGGCCATTGACTCGATATATCTCCTTTCATTCTGTTTTTAATATAATCACATTGAATATCATGAATCATTGTACATGATACATAACACATCTCAAATTAAGCAATAGGTAGTGAATGACTAATCACCCTATCTCAATTAAACTAATAGCAGCAATTTTTGTTGCACTGCATGTAATTTATTTATAATCACCCTATCTCAATTAAACTAATAACAGCAATTTTGTTGCACTGTGTGGAACTCAGTGTGTTTTGACAAATGAAAATAAGTTGTTTGCTTTGAAAGAGAGTAGAGGCAGAAGTATTCTTGTATCTGGGAGAGCTGAAAAAAACACCGGAGGATATTTTTTTATAAACTAGGCAGTAAACAAAACTTTTTCAGTGTATTAATTAAACAACAAACTTTTTGAAGCAGGGATATTTTCTTTTGTTGTATCTCATCTTGCAAGAATTGTGTCAAATTTAACGAGCACATAACAACTCACTAAGCTCAGTTTTATGTATGTGATCAAGGAGGGAAAAAATAAACAAAATAAAATTCATATTACCTCTAAGCTATAAGATGCAACTTCTTATTTTGTTGTTAGTAGTTCACCAAATGAGTCAGACGTGACTATATTAATTGGGAAAACCAGAGGCGTCCCTGTGGTGGCTCTATGTTCTGATGGATTCTGTAATTCTTTAGATTTGCTGGTATTTGCTTAAATTAAAGCAACTTTTAGTCTACTTGGGTCTATGCCAGGAACTGGGGTGATTCCCAACTCTAGACATGAGGCACCCTTCTTGGTCTAAGCCACACAGGTGTAGTCTACTAGATTTGTCCCAAAGCATAGCAGTCCCAATAAGCACAGAAGTGTTAAAAAATATATAAAAAAATCTGTTTCTATCTGTTTCTTACAGGATGATCTGCATCCAGCTCAGCTCCATAGCTTAGGATCTGATTGGCAAATCTGTCCAGCTCCTGGATACTTCTGGGAAACCATGGCACTGCAAAAACAGAAAATAAATCCATACTGTTTCATTTCTTTATGTCAGTTTTGAAAAGAAATCTACATTCTTAGCTCTTTTTATTGCTTTATTTTACTTCTTCTTCCATTTCCATTTTTCCATTATAAATATAAATAAACCTATGTAAGAGGCTAAATTTTTCAAACAGAAAAGTGGCCTTTCCATATAGTAGGAGGTAACCTTGCATGTTGTCTTGAATTTGTGGCTGTTCTGCACTACTGGAAGAGAACAGCTCATCAAGAAAGCCCAGTCCTTGACACACACTTGGCTTGTAATGTTTATGATTTTCTGTTTTTTATTCTAGTTTCTTGACTTGCCAAACATAGAAATATTTCCAGAATATCCTTAACTTCACAGTAGCTAGCATCAACCCTTGCAAAAGAACAACAAGAAACACCACTGCAAGAGGATATGGGATTCTTTTAAAAATTGCTTGGTAGCCTCACATAAGCTAGGATACTGAGGTAAAATGATAAATAGTACTCTGATGTATTTGACTGACATTGTATTACTAAACTAATTATACAATAATGTAGCATTTAATTAAAATTCTGGGTCTGGTTCTTCATTGCCTTGCAACTGGCATATGATACCCACTTCCTACAGTACAGACAGAATATGAAACAGGGTCACATTGACTACACTGCACTTAATGTCCACATGGGAGGACATAAGGTGGATACCAAAATAGCTTTCCAGATGCAATGTGTCCAGACCAGGGAAAGCAGCAGACAGATGCCTTCATAGCAGCTGTGCTGTGAGGAGCAGCTCATTATAGTTTGCCTGGGACCCAGAACAGACAACCACTGCTCAATCTCCTTCATGGAGCCATGAGCACAGGGGTTCCTACTGTAGTTCAGGCATATACCTGGCTGTTGGGCCTGTATCCTAAGGTGATGAACTCTTCCCCATCAATACAACTAATTGGTCTTAAGTCCCATGTATGTGTTTGTCTCCAGGACACTTGGCAGCAGGGAGCTCTAACATTTCATCACACGTGACTTGTAAAGTCACTCTCTTTTCTAAATTTTAGACATAATTATTTCATTTGATGTTGATTAGTCCCTGCAAACAAACATCACTGAACACTTTGTTCTTATTCACCTTCTCCAGGACACCTAGGATTTTCCAGCTTCCTGTCAGATTCTCCCCTATACCATCTCTTATCCTCACTGAGACTCCACCAGACTTGTAATTCTGGCACAAAAACATTGCCTACTTTTGAGCATTCTGCTAATTTTTCTCTGCACTTCCACTTCTACCACACTTTTTCTGAATAAAAACCTCAGCTAGGGTTCATAATGGTTCAACTCTGTATTTAGGTCCCATATTTCCTCCACACCAGGCAGTCTAATAGGGATATTAAAACTAATATCACCCCAAAGACTGGACCTGCAGGACTAAGGCTCTCAGCAGTCACCATATCAGCATGATGTTCACAGTTCATTTAGCATCTTTCTTGCATGAATGGGGAGTGTTTGCTCAGCCAGCACCTGGGAATAAAGCTCATTCCCCTGTGCTGATCTGCCTGGTAGGGAGCGATGCCCTTCAGCCATTCCTCCCCATCTGAGTTTGCTCTTTGTGTGGAGTGAACCTGATGCTCAGGACAAGTATGCGAGGATGGAGCTGCAGCAAACTCATCCAGCAGCTGCTGCCCACACTCTCCCACAGAGCCTGGCTGATAGGGCTCAGCCCTGATCCAGATGGACCACCTGCAGGATGAGAGGATCACTCTGTCTCCAGGTCTATTCAATCTTTCTCTTTCCATTGCAGTTAACAATAAAGGGGGCATTTGCGGCGCTGGGTTTAGGCGAGGCAAGACACCTGCACAGAGGCACTGGAGGGACAAGGGCAGATTTTCAGGGCATGCTTAAGAAGCCTGCAGCTTAGCCCCATGCAGAGCACTCACTTTCTCCAACAAGGTGTCCCTCCGCCAGCTCGGCTGCATCCAGCGCTCCCCATGAAAGTCTCATTACTCTTTTCCCTGGCCCAGGAGTGTGGGCTGTGCATGCCTGCATGCCTGGCATGGTGATTTGGGCCCTCGCAGACACTGCCAGGGCTTCTCCTGCTGCAGGGTACCCATCCAGCATGGATGATGGTGCTCCTCGATGCTCCTTGCCATGCTGCTCTCTCTCTCCTAACAAACATGGACTTTGCTTCCCCCTTCTTAAGCTGACCACCTACTACTTCACTCTAAAAAGCAGACCAGAACAAGTCACTAGATGGCAGCAGCAGTCCCTGTAAAATCTTGCAATAATGACAATTTCCTGGTTTTATTGCTAGTGCTGTAACTTCTGTAGAAATACTTGCCCACTGCTTTGTTAGCAACTTGCCTGCACAGGCAGCCCCTTGAGTTAAACAGGTCTATAGGAGCTCATTAAGAAAGGTATATTTGCATCCCAGAGAGGAGTCTCTACTGACAGTATATGAAGGATGAACCCACTCAGCTGTCCTGACCATATTTCCTTTATCTGCAGCCAAGGTATTTGGAAAATGGCTTCAGAGTTGAGTTTATAAACCCTGGAACACAGGGTTTATCTGCTGGATTTGCCACTTGTGTGATGATGCAGGGGATGTCTTCACTCTTTCATGCTTGAGTCTCTCTAGCTGTCAGGTTGGGGTGAGGCAGTTGAAAGAATTTGGAGGATTTCAGGTTGGAAAAAGAGCACCCTGGCAGCCCTTTGTTCTTTGAGTGAGGCACTGCTCTTTGCAGGACAGCTCCGTGAYTTAAGGGGCCTGAGCTGTGCAACACAAGGCAGTAGAAGAGCCTTGTGGGGGCTGAAGAACTTCAGAGGGATTTCAACCATGTTGCCTATGTGGATCTGCCTCCCAGAATCAGAAAGGTTGGTGGAGTGCTGAATAACTTCAGCTTCCAGAAGCAATAAAAGACAAGTATAATGATGACTTGCTTTCATTGGGCATCTTTTATTCTCAGGTTTACTCAAGCTCTTGGGGTATAGACCGCGATGAGCCCTGGTACTGATACTCAGGTGCTGATGCAGCTCCACCAAGGAAAGGGAGACAGGGGGCCTCTGCATTCCCCTGTACAGGGGCAGCACCTGAGCTGAGAGGGGTGCGGCCCTGTATCTCCCTGGCCCACTTCCAGCAGCTCTCTGAATTCAAATGCTGACTGCAGCTAAGGAGAGTCACCCTGAGTTCACAGGGCTATGTGAAAGGGGCACTTTGCAAAAGGGAGCCCCTCAGATGCCTTCATGCAGTTTGCTCTAGTGTAGCTGATATTCAGTCTGCTCCTGGAGAGTCTTGAGCCTTCTCAGCTGTTCTGATGACAGAAATTAAAGGTGCTGAGCACAGCCCTGGGCCAGGTATCACACCAAATCTTTACAGTCCCAGTGACAGGGCTGGGGTTCAAAAGCTCCTGGGGTCTCTGGCTGTGGTACACAGGGACGCTGTCCCCTGCCATCCTAGCAACTATTAAAAAAAACAAATCAAATTATTCCCTGGCTAAATCTATCCCATATTTTGTTTGCARCCTCCTCCTCCAGTCCATGCTTGCCAGACCCACTGTCTGTCTGCACAGCAATTAATGAATTGCCAGAGCAAGCTGTTGCAACACTGGCCCTCTGTGAAGGTCTGAGGAGCAAACGTGGACTGATCAGTAATAAATATTGATTTGTCTGTAAGCGCAACAGCAGCTTTTACGGGTTGTGCTGGACACCCAAGTAGTGACCAAATTACCATGGGGTCAAATGCTGAGCAGAATGCTAATAAGCCATTTATATGAGGGGCAGCAWAGAAGGGGCAGCAAGGAGTTTCTGCAGGACTACTTCATTTGGACCATTGTGAGGAGGGTCAAAGTCAGGTCTATGCAATTTATAGCCTTTTGAGGCCCAGGTTTAGCCCCTCTTAAACAGTCCCAAATACTTTGGCCAGCCTCAGGGTTTAGCAAACAAGGCCCTTACAGAATCTCAGCCTCCAGCCTGTCTCATATATGCAATAAATTATCTGCATTTCCCTAACGTTGCAACAAAATAAAATTTAATTCTTTTTATTTCTGGGCTCCAAGTGGTCTGCAGATACGCAGCTTGTTTCCAAAAAGAGCCATGAAGAGACACACTGTGTTTTCACAACAAGTCTTTCTGTCTCTACAAAGGGCTTTTGGCTCATTGATTGCTAGTCCATCTCATGTGAAACTCTAATATTACCTCTGGAATTATGGCATTTTGCTGGTTTACTTTCAGTTAAAAACACAATATTAATCCAAACCTGCCATTTGCAACTGTTTAGGTGCAAATAATATTTAATATTTAATATTTAAGAATATTTTTAAAAGATAAATATTTCAAATAATATTTAATATTTGAGAGAGGAAAAGTCTTAAAGCAATTAGAGCACCCATATATATATAAAAGCTGTCCATTTATACCTTGACCCAATAAAGCAAATACATGTATTTAATAATTTCCTCTGACTTTCCACAGAACACAGTACCATGAATGGCACAGAGTGCTTCCTATGGAAAACTGAGCAAAATAGTTTCCTTGCTAAAGCATAGCAATCTCTTGCTAGAGATTTTAGAAGGACATTCAATCACTGCTTAAATAATGCAAGGTACTTAAATATTCTGGTGTGCCCAGGTCATCCCACTTTAAAGTGTGAGTTTTCTAGTCTGAATTTGCCAAAATTCCCCTTCCAGCTGGATGATTATAAAGTTTTTGCTGTGTGAAGCCTTCTCTCCTAGGCATCTTACAGACCTTGCTCTCACTAGTGCTGATGGTTCCTGTGGCTAAGCTGCAGTGATATAACTGCAGCACATCTCTGAATCTGCGACATCTTTTCCAATATTGACCTACCGTTCCTCTGCCAAGACTGGCACACTTGAATCTGAAATATAATTTTACTGGTGTAGATGTCATATCAATCACCAAGGAACAATGTACAGTTAGACTCTGAAAGCATTTTTTCTAACCCAGGGGTTTTGCACAGAGCTCACCACAAGCAAAACGAATCCCTAGCAAAGAAGATTTGGGAGCAGTGATGGCAGAATCAACACCACAAATTCAACTGCAGGACCCTAGAGCACCTCCAGGAGAAAGCATTTCCACCCTTCACCTGGCAAAAGTGAAGGCTATGGAAATATCCCAGTGGACAATACACCAAGATTGCTCCCTGGAGGCATATTACCCTCACTCTTTTGTGTTTTGGAAATAAAACTTAACTGAAGTACATCTGTGGATTACRACCAGATTCGCCAGAAGGATATATACCTGAAAGACAAGCCGATTTACAGAGCACCGCCAGGCCTGTTGTTTGTTAATGCCGTCACAGATAAAGGACAAGGTCTTAGCACTCATCCTGCAGCTAGCCCTGCTCACATTTCATTCTGCCCTCGTGGCTACCTCAGGCCAGAGCTTGCCACCCACACACAGTTCATCCCCTAAGCAGTGCTAATTTGACCTTTCAAATACTTCTCTTTAAAGATACCTTAGTTATATTGGACTTTTTAGCTATACGTACTGCTCCCAAGAGGAGTTAAAATTAAAAACAGAAGGAAAAAAAAAAGAAAGGAAAGGGGCAAATGACATATCAATATTCCTCCTTTCTTGGCTGTGAGTTGTTCTGATTTTTTCTGTTACTCAAACTAACAAACAAATGCAAGTTATCCCCTTGGACAGATGGGGATCAAGTCCCTTTCTCTGCAGCACTGACAGGATAATCTAGCTCAAAAAAATGCTTTGATCAACACAGTAACATGCAGTGAAATCCTAATCCTACAGAAGACCATGACAGTTCTTACTTCTGTGAGGTCAGAATTTCACTCACAAGACTTTCTTGGGTGATATTTAGAGCTGTATCAGTATTTGACTCTGGCCTACATGTATCCACCTCATGACCTCTTCTTAACAATAATAGATAAAAAAAAGTAATGGCAAATCCTGCTAGGTTGTATAGCTTCCTTCTGAAAAAAAAAAAAAGAATAGAAAACATCTTTGAGATCATAAATCACCTTTTGTCCTTCTATCTCATGAATGGAAAGAGTGAACTACAAACACTATATGCTTTCTTTTTTTTCATCTTCAAATGTAATGTCATGGATAGGGCACAAAGGAGATGGTAAAAGGATTACCATCACTGATCTCAGGAAGGTATTAATGTCCTTTCATGTTGTTCCTAGGAAGGAAGAGGAAGATCCACGCCTAAAGTATTTAAAGTCTGAAATCCTATTAAAATCACATCTGTTATCTGAAGAAGCATTTAGGTATGTCTCAGACTAGATGCTGGGCAGCAACCACTGTGCCTAGCAGCCTCAACGCCAGTAAAAAACTTTGAGAATTCGGAGAGCAGGCAACTTGCAAGACCTTTCCTATTTCTCTTCAACAGTAGAACTACTACTGATTTCCCAGAAAAAAAAAAATGTTATTTTTGCACCCACTCAATGGGCAGCAAAGCACCCCTAATTTCATTAGCAGGGATGCAGGGTATCCAGGAACCTAAAAGGTAGCTCATGTGCGTGTGGGAGGGACAGCAGAGGAAGGGAGAGAGTGACCACACAGAGACCACCACAATTATGACAAAATTTTGGCAGATTGATCGATAGTGCAAGTTCACTGGACCTGTATATCACTAAAAATTAACAAACTGCTTCTCTTCACYTGAGTTCTGCTTGGTAGAAGTGTTTAAGAAAGGGTTTTCCTCTACCTGAAGTGCATAACGCATATGCACCTTCCCTGGGGACTCCCTAGAGCCATCCTTCCTTATCAAAGTCAAAGGCATTCTTCAATAAGTAGCAATCACCCCTAAAACGCCACAGAGGGACTCTATYGGATACTAAACAAGCACAGATTCAGTTTTGGGTTGAGCAGAAGGCAAAAGGAGGCAGATTTAGGTCTAGATTTCTGAGACGATTTGATCTGCTATCTAGAAGCCAAGTTCCTACATTCACCCRCAGACTGTCCTGCACCTATCTGCCCTTTTAAATTGTGCTTCTGTTTATGATTTTTTTTTTAATCAGAACAGACAGTAACTTGGTAGAGATTGACTATACACACGCAGTGCACCCCAAGTAGATCTTCCTTTGTTTTACTGCTTGTGTAGGCAGACTACATAGGAAAAGGGCAGAAGTTTAAAAGCCCCAAAGAAGCTTTTAGTGCCCAGTGGTCCAGAGGCTGAAAGACGGCAGTCAGAGATTCAGGGGAGATGTCCCAGGGCTTGATATCTGCACTCAACACAGTAGTTTAGGTCCCACATGCATCCCTGTTATTCTAACATGTTGCATATTTGTGAAGAACTAGTTGCCACACTAAATGATTTGCCAAGAGCTGCAGATACAAATGTTGCTTGTTCCAATGTAGTGCAGAGATTGAGAGAAGTAAATGGATGCACCTACAACTTTATGCATTATTGTTTAGGGGTTTACAAGTCGGACCCTTAGCCCATACCTATAAACATCTTTAGATCCTCTTTTAACTTCTTCAGATACTGTAATGAGTTACTGCAATAACATTCTCTCTAAGGAACTGTGAGTGCTGCCAGACAGACAGACAAGTGATATCATAACACCATAACATAGGTTCCCAGGCAACTTAGTGAAAAACAGGGTCAKCAATTGGTCACATACTACACTGAGAGACAATTCCGCTACCCAAAAGCTTGCAACATAGACAGACTAGACAGACCAGACACAGAACCAAGTACTCTTGGTTCTTCCTTTGCTAGAGGAAAAAGAAGTCATTTGAGTATATGACATAAATGTTTTTAATCAGTATTATCCTTTTCAACATATCCTTACCAGTATCCTTCTTCTTTGTTCGTGAAAGCTCATGCACAGTTGCTCCAATATCATTTCTCAAGGACTTGATGATATTGTCCAAAGCTGGGACACTCTTGTCTTCCAAGTTAATGAAGAATTCATACTCATCCTTGTTGAGACGGGAAGGTCGGGATTCAATATGGGTCAGGTTTACGCCTTTTTCCTGTGAGAAAGAGAAATTTTGGTCTCACAAGTTTTGGGGGAAAGAAATGTGATTTAAAGTTTAGCTCAAATTCATCTGTTAGTCCACAATTCATACAATACAATCCACACAACCCAAAACTACTGGACTGATGATCTTTACAACAAGGTGGTCCTGCAAGTGGTAATGCAAGCAGTAGAAGCTTTAAACTGTAAAATGTGAATTTCATTTCCATATCACAAGTACATAATATGAGTTTGTCTATGTGCACAAAAACACTTTCCCAGGATCAACATGGGAAGAAAGAGTTTCACCTATAGAGAAACAAAAAGCTCTCATAAGAAAGTGTTRTGTCTGTGAGTATCCTGAAAGGAAAAGCAAGGAGCAGTCCATCCTGTGAGCCAGATCACACCACAAAGCCATCTGCACAGCTTCCAGTGTTATGAAAAGATGTTTTGGGCAGAAATCCAACAGGTAACATAGATCTACACCAAAAATCAATTCAGGCTTGTGTAGTCTGTTCCAGTGTTCAACCACTCTCATGAAAAAAAGCTTCTCTTTAGTGCAGAAGGTCACCTTTATCGCTGAAGATCTTTGTTCACAGGCAATAGTGTCTCCTACCTCTTAAGAAAGCAAACACTGCCAACTATATTACTGATGATAATGACCAGATGGTACCTGAACTCACATGTGCCAGTGTGACAGTGAGAATAAAGCAGTAGGTAACTAAAAGCCCTATTTACTCAGTCACTTAAATACAAGTGCAGAAAAATTCTCTACAATTTAGCTGAATCGAGATTTTTATCTGAATACTGCAACTTGAATATGAAAATGTTCCTTTTGTTGTTGTTGTTGTTGTTGTTGTTGTGTAATACTTTTAAACTTGTTTCAGTCAGTGATCATTTGACCTCAGGATAAAATTCAGCCTGAAGAGGAAACCCAAAACAGTCAAAGGAGCTGGCACAAGATACTAATCAGCTCTGGAGAAGCTGTTCCTTTGCTGCATGATTTGAGGCTTAAGAAGACCCCTCCAATCATATGCCCTAACTACATGAGGTGAAATGCTGGCCCTATTGATGTCAGACCTCCTACTGCAGTGGGGTCAGGATTTCATACAAGAAGAAAAACTGTGAGGATCTTTTTGTGACCTACGGGAAAGAAGGAAGTAAGTTGGAGGTGGGGGAGCGGGTTGATTGGTTGATGTTTTGAGGGGAACAGGGAGGGTTTTTTTTTTTCTGCACCTTCCTCCACTATGAGCTTCTTAGGCTCTTTAAGGTTTTCTTTGCTCCTCTCAGTGCTTGCATAGTGCAGAGGGGCATCTGGCCATTAATGGCAAAGGCTTCATTCACTCCACTACAATAGACAGTTGATTACTTGGTAGGAAACAGCATGCATGTCATTCCTCTGTTTCCTGAGTGTGGCACGCTACAGATGAACTTAAATTGTTTGGCTTAATACCAATACAATAAGTTGAAAAGGTCAAAAGCGCATTCAGCAACTGCTGCTCTTGAGAGATGCTGTCCTTGTGTGGCTGTCTGTGAGGACAGAAGGCCTGTCACTGTGCTAGGCCCAAGGACAATTTGTTTTAGGTGCCCAGAGCCCCATTTCACAAACAAACCATGCATTGTACCCTCCACTTGGGGAGGCACTAGGAGATGGAGTGGCCAAGAGTTAGACATTAAAATTACTTGAGGCCAGAATGCTTCTGACAGAGACCAGACACAAGGTCCCGTCTCCTTCGTCTCTGCAGCTCCACCAGGAATTGTGAAGCAAAGGGGGAGCTGCACCCATTGGACAAGGGGCAGGCCTGTCTCTAGCAAAGGTGAAGATTAGGTGTAAAACACAGCCATGTGCAAAGGCTCTGCTCATGCACATGTAAGGTGCTGTCTTACATTAACCTTGTGCTGATACAGCAGGATGCTGGGATCTGTCTCCTTATAGTCACAAGTGAATTAGATGCTGGATCGTGACAGAGGAAGTGTCCTAGGAAGTACAAAGGCCACAATAGCATGGATCTTTCTCTGGTTTTCATCACCCTCCTGCCTCCCCACCCACAAATGTTCATTCCTGACTCAGTATTCATTTCCCATAGAAGGACATCTGTCCAAGAGATGAGACAGAAACCTAGAGTTCAGTCTTTTCTTTGGGCAGGTGATTTTTCAGCTGTACCAGCTCTCCAACATGGCTCAGTAGGAGCCTTCACCAGCAGCAGGTTGCCCACAAAGTATGTATGTGTGTTGCAGGAGGACGAGGTAAAGGAGGAGAGGATGTTGCAGGGGAATGAACAGACAAGCTGGGAGACAGGCACAACACATTCAAGACAGAAATGACTCCAGAARTACCTCCACAACCTAAGAGAGAAGGAAGAAAGAAGAAAATATTCCCATTCTCTCTTTGTTTTGAGAGCTTCAGAACCTCGTGGCAGAGAAGCTGAAGGGAGAACCCTTCTGGTGCCTGTTTCTGAAGCAGGAATTCAGATGCATAAATAAAAGTTGCTAAATGACAGYCTTATAGAAATAGGCTTTCATATGCTGTGCATTGCTAATAGATCCCCAATTTCAAAATATTTACAGTGGCTCCGTTACAAGAATTGCTTTACAAATCCAAATTTCATCCTGGTCCAACTACTCCATCTAGTGTTTCATCTTCATAATTTCATACTAATCAAAATCTTTGCATTCACAGGGTTGTCAAATCTTTCAGTTGCGTGGTTGATGTGTCATTTAAAGCTCCATCTTCTGGAAGAAAAGGATTACCTGAGGATTTACTTGCACTTTCCTGATACAAAAAAAAAAAAAAAAAAAANCAAGAACAAAAACAGTGATTTGTTCTTTAACTCTTACTGCAGGTTAGTTTAATGCTTCATGAAAGGGGAGTCTTATAGAAGCACAAACAAAAACTCTGTAGATAGTTTTCATGGGGAATCAGGGAAGTCAGGAAGTTGCAGCAAGGTTTGCAATCACAGTTTCCCAAAGTAAAAGCCAAGGTGGGCACCCTTGTTCAGCTTTAATATCTGAGGAACTGCTTCTTGGCTGAAGGTGGAGATTCCCCATCCTCTGCATTTTCTTCTTCATGTCTCAAGCTCCATGAGGCAAAACTCTTTTTCTAGCATGAAACCAGTGGAGGCTCCTTGCAGTGAATGGCCCCCAAAGAAGAGACAGTCCTTGAGCCATCTCTATTGGTCACCAAGCACATCTGCTCCCTGATACAAATCTAGTCATGCTTACAGGCCAAAGCCTCAGCCACAAAGATTGATACAAGGCCTTCAACACAATGCAAGCAAGAAACATGAGGTGTGAGATAGACAGAATTATCTCCTTGTATTATGATATAGTAATGAAGTGATAACTTTATGATSACCGTAATACCTTTAAACTCAGATTGGGATGAAGGTCCTAGGCCTAATTCCCTTTGCTAGTCATTGCCCAAGTACTTGACAAGATATAGCCCCAAGAAGCCCCACTCTCCTAGTTCTAAAAAGAGGGGGACTCAGCATGTTTGCAGCTTAGACCAACACATATCCCCTCAGCACAGTAGCCCTTTGCACAAGCCTCTTTTGCTGCAAGATGGGGAAGAACTTCCATGCAATCATGACTGTAGCTCTTGAGCATGACAGGGCTGGCATGGTGTACTAGATTAACTGTGAACTTGCTGGGGAGGAAAGCAGAAAGAGGAGTACACGGTCCCCAGGAAAGCAGCAATTCATTTTASAGCCTGCTCTCCCTCTTCACAGCCTAGGGCAAAGGCATAAACTGAGCCTAGAGGGTGCAGTCTCCTCCCTGAGTTTCTCTCCAGGTGGGAAAAGCCATTTCTAAGCCTACATCATTTTATGAAAACAGCTTTTTTGAGCAGTGAACTCAAGTGTAATAAAGAAGGTTGGTAGCTGTACATGGGCATACCATGGAGGAAAAGAAGATTATTAGAAGAGGCATTCAAGGCCCGCTCACCTATCAGTGCAAACACCTCTTCCAAATCCCCTAGTTGTGCAGCCTGCAGTAGAATCAAACATTGTGGAAATGTACCCTGGCCAAAGTGACTGGCTGCTTCCACCAATTTGGAAACAGTTCAAAACGTAGCAGAGCCGGTATCTTCCTGACGGCTGCAGAGATAACAGGCACTCTGGACTTTCTGTCAAATAAAGTTTTGCTTCTAAGCAGAAAAAGAGCACAGTCATCTTTACTGGCTCTGAAAGCTTCAGGTCTCATTTAGTGCAGCCCATTAGTCCCAGTCAGTCCTCCCACGGAGGAGTAACTTACTCTGGGAGCAAMCATGCAAACCATGCTTGTGAGCTAGAGGCATGGACCTGGTTCTGAAGCCCTGCTCTGTATTTTGAAATGTCATGCTGGTGAAGAAAACAGGGAAGGTTCCCGGACAAGATGAACAAACTTGCAACCTTTTCCAACCCAACATTTGCAGCAGATGTTTGTAAATCTGTCAAGCAATGGACTTGAGAGGGGATTCATGTATTTACAAATTCAAATTTAAAAATGTCAAATAAAAAATAAGCCTATTTAAAATTTGGTATGTTTCATTCTGATATTTTTATTTTTTACTTTCTCTGTTTCAGAATGGAAGCTCTGTTGTTTAAAAAAAGTGATCTTGTGCTTTTTAAAGGGTAAAAAGAAACTTTTTGAAATAGGCTCATATCACTGCAGAGAAAGTAAACAGGTCAAGTACAACATTTGGCTTGACCCCAAAATGATCTGTTTTGCTTTGGAGTTTTGATAAGCCTGAAAGGTCTTTTTCTGACCTGAACTTATACCTTGTACCCTTCTGATTTGCCCAGTAAACTATAAATGAAACATAAACATTCAGCTACGTGATTTTAAATGTAGTTTTTGGCCTATGCATGATATTCTGTTTCAGACTGAGATATTTATTCTAGTTTTGGTTTCCTAGCTGTCTTCTGCAATAGCACAAGCCAGATCTGCAGCGTACGGCAGCACCAAGCAATGCTGTACTGTGCAAGGGTGAATCCTATGAAAATTAAGTCAGTGAAAAGACTGTGGGACCGTTTGTGCTTCTCTGTGACTACCCTTTAGGCTGCAGTGAGGCAAGAGGGGTTGTCCAAGCAGACCCCAAGGGGGAAGMTGCATGCAAGTAGGGAGGGGTAAAGATTATATACAAACAGGCTATTGAAGTGAAAACAATTGTTTCTGACCATTTAAAGCAAAAAAAAAAAAAAGAAACTTTACCATATCCATATACACACAGAGTAGCTAACAGGGAAGCCAGTATTAACTATCTGCTTAGTGCAAGGCATGGCTGAGCTGAGCTGAGCTGCTGTTACGAAACATCCCAGGTATGAGTCCAAACCTGTGGACATTTGCTTTCTAAAGAGAAGACGAAGATGGGCTGACATGGGGTCATACAGCAGCCCTGGGTGCAAAGCAATCTAGGAAGAGCTACAGGAGAGACAAGGATCAAGGCGGCAGAAATGCTGAGGAGTTTGCTGGGATCTGGCATTTGAGCTTTTGCTGAGGGCTGCTCGTTTCTGTGTGTGGGAAAGAACTATCCTCCCACCTAAGTGCCTTCCTCTCGAGTGGTCATTGAATGCCTCTGTAGACATGGCCTGGATTTGCTTTTGAGGACAATGATTTTCAGCTTAATGGGCTGGACAGCCTCTTTAAATATATGTCAATCTCTCTGAGGGTGCAGCCCCTCTTTTGTACAGACAGCTCTTTGGAGTTTGCACATTGGCCCTGTGCTGAAAGGCATTAACGAAGATATAAATCAAATGTAAGAACAAGAGAAAAGCAGCTCCTACCCAAGGATGGTTTGGGATGAAATCTAGCAGAGATTCCTCAGAAAAAAAAAAATAATGTTACACTGGAAAAGCAACAGTTCTCACTGCAGCAACATGCTCAGGCGTGCGACTGGGAGGAGTGCAGAAAACAAGAGGCTGGGTACAAGCAAAGAGCAGGCATGAGAGCATGTGGCAGTCTGTCAGCACCACGTAACCTTGAGGGATGTTTGAGTACAACAAATATTAAAAGATTATTCCCCCAACACACTGAATTTCCATGAAATGGAGTCTCACAGTGAAGGGATGTGTTTCTGCTCCTCAAAGATGTTTTCTACAGGGCTTTGCCTTGTTCCTTCAGCTGCATGGATAGTGGGAGGTCTTCTGCCTAGAGCCCACGTTGGGCCATCTGAGAGGCTTACTCTGGTGGAGATAGACTATGTCAGTTCTCCTGGGAGGTCTGCCTCCAGGGTGATTGATGATAATCCCTAGAACACAGTGCAGCTGTGGTACTCCAGTGCCTGCAGCCCTGCTCCTGCTGTGATGCAGATGTAGAATCAAGCTGGCACACAGCACAGCTTGCTTCAGGCTCATATGTCCCACGGGAAGCAGGCCATGGTGGTGCCTAAGGTATGGCCAGATTTCATCCCACTGTAGAATCAGGATATGTACAGCGTGTGAAACTGGCTGCTTGTAAGTGTTCCTGAGTTCCTGACATGGACACAGGAGTGACCTAACAACCCTCTTAAAACAACAAGGATTTTTCTCAGAAATTTTTTGCTTCCACTGTTAAACAAAGGAAAGGATGAACATCCACATGGACATTCATCTTACCAAAAAACAGGTCAGCTGCTGACAGCACATTGTGAACTATCGTTTCACTAGGTAGACCTTCTGTGTCTCTTTCTGGATCTTGCTTCCATGCTTTCTTCCCTCTCTTGAGAGAGGTTGTTTATTTTTCAAGACTTTCATATTTATAGCCTTTTTAATCCCTTGCTTTCCCCATTCATGGTCCAAAATGATTTTATATGTTGGCTGGAGAAAAGGCAAAATCCTCAAAGACAGTGCTGGAGGCATGGTCCTTCAATAACTTTCAAGTGCAGGCTGGGAGGAGTAAAGGCTTGAGCCATGCTTTCTGCCCATTCCCACAGTTGCTTGTTGATTTAAACAAGCACAATAACCCAGACAGCACCTCAAAAACTTAGGCCAGCATTTGGCATTAGTAAGTTATCTCAGAGGAACTCTGAATGCATCACACTTGGCCATGCAGCCACAGTGAGAACGGTGCTGAGATATGGCACTGAGCAAGGATCAGCACTGCTTCAGCTCCAGGGCACAATCTGATCGTATTTTGTGGCTTTTGTGTTTTCTTCTTTCCTAATTCATGTGGCTAAGTGAGGCATCAAAGGTCAGAACAGCCACTCGCACCCTTCTTCCATATACAGTCTCCTCTTGAGAAGATCTCACTGTTCTTCTCCCACGCTGTGTTGGGGCAACACAGCAGACAGAAACATCAGGGACGAGATGAGTTGTCTACCTGCCCAGAGGAGCCCAGCAACAGATGGTGAAGGACAAGTGAACTATAACTAACCTGCACATCACAGATGATTTTTTCAAGCCAGAAAGGGATATAAATCAGGGGGAAAAAAAACCTACGCTTTTGTCTCTTGATGGCTGTAGGCATTGGCAAAGGCAGTTGGGATGGACAGCAGCAAAACAAAAAGAGCCCCATAAGATATGTTACTGCTGGACCAACTGACAAAGCAGCAGCTTTGGAAAAGAGGAGGGACAGCTTCCTTGCTGTCCCATCCTTATCTTTTCACAACCAACAGGGCATCACCAAGTTCGTCAGCTTTCACACCTCTGTGCTGAAGATGTCCCTGAGCACAAATTGTGTTTCTCATTCTCCATGATTATGACCAAGGTGAAAAATGTGGAGGTTATCTCAGCTTTTCTGGCCAAAGACTTAGGCTGCTGAACAAGAAGAGTCCAAGGGTTGCTCTGGCTTGCAAACTTCAATGTGCTCACGTACCCTAAAGACAGACGTGAGGAGCTGAAGCTGCAGGTCAGATTCAGCAAATCTCTTTTCTCCAATCACCCTTTCTATTGCCCTGTTACGTTTCCAACAGTATGCAAATACAGCATAAGGGCAGGCAGGACAGGTCTCTTATCAAACCTTGGTGCTGAAGAAGATGGCATGATTGTATAAAAAGAATATGCCTAGTTGGGATGAGAATCAACCCAGCCAACAAGTTCTCATTTGTGCTACTGTTCCCTAGGTCATCTTCAGAGGCACTGGACAGAACTACATTCAGCCCACCTAGTTCAGATATCTGCTTTAGGGCAAAAAGAAGCACATCCTAGAAGCATCTACTTCATCCTCTAGCTTCCTCATAGATTGTGCTTAAAGGTGATAATAACTTGACTAGTGGATGCTAATGCACTTAMGAAGAGAATGTTAGCGGGCCTCCTTAGTTCACTTATAGACAGATTGCTGACACGTGGAAATTTTGCAAGATTGTATTACAATGGTCATTCCACAAATTTAGACAAGCTCTGGTGTTGGTATGAATTTCCTTCATCTTAATGAATCAAGTATGTCTTATGATTTATAATTATTTTTCATTTGTACTAATACCACACAATCCTTTCATTTGCTAGTCAATTCAATTTGCAAATGCAAAATATGCAGATCACAATTTATTACAGCGTTCTATAGAAAGAATTGCTTTTGGGCACAACTATTATATGTTGATGTTCTTAAAAACATGTTCAAAGAATGATATAACAAAGTGGATTTGCTTGAGAACACATAGTTCACAGCTGTGTGCGTTGCAACACAACTATCCTCAATTGCAAGGGTTTCATGCTTTTTAAACACCCTCCATGACATCTGGGAAATATTTCTGCATAAATAAATAGGCACACAATGTTCTTAAAGGTATGTGGCTACTTATTTCCCCAACAGCTTTCCAAATTACACGGAATCACAGAATGGTTAAGGTTAGACAGGATCTCTAGAGATAATCTAGTCCAACTCCCCTGCAGTCAGTAAAAGTTGCAGAGTTTCTTGTAGCAGTCATGAACTGTGAACGCAGGGTAAAACATACCATGTTTCACCTGTATCTGTAGTACCTCTGTAGAAGTTGCAGTGGTGGGTGACAATGACCTTAGTTATACAAGTTTACTACATACACAATTTATTGAGGTGGAAAAGAGCTAAGAGGATAGTGCCTCCCCCAGGAGAACTGCTTCATGCAACATGTGCTCCAAATGTTGTATGACCGACATTTGCTTCTCTATAATATGTACACATGAGATTATGTTTGCTTTTATATAATAGAAACATAGAAGCATAGAAACACAGATATTAGACATATCAGACTACAGCCTGACTCATTTCTTCCTCTTAAGGTAGTAGGTGCAGCATAATACTTGCTTTTTAAAAGGAGAAAATGCACTTTTTTCATTCTCACACCAGATGAAGATGGTCAGAGAAAAGGAAACGCATGCTGCTTTCCCCCATTATGGCAATGAAATGGAATTTCAAATGTAGCTCTAAGTACTCTGAACAAATGCTGCTGCAAAGTAAAAATACAAGGACACAGTCAGGTCTCCTAAAAAAAATGATATTTACCTCAAATGTACGAAGAACTTTAGCCAATGCCCCAACTTCTTCTTTCAGGGAGAAAATCAAAGAAATCATACCATTTCTATTTGAGTGTTCCTCAATGTACACAGATTCCTGGAAAAAAAAAAGGGGGGGGGGAATCATCTTTAAATTCACCCCAGAAATTAGTTTTATTTTCCTCTACTTCCCTTTTGAATTACATCAACAATATGAAGAGAATATAAAGTTATTTTAAGCAGATACCTGAGAACTACCCCAACGAAAAGATGAGATAAGGCAAAAACAAGGCAACTATTTGTTGCCAGAATAAGCAGAACAACTCCATGGCTGCTTTGAGTTACATGCTAGCAAAATAGCATCCCTCCCCTCAACCTGGAGCTCATGTGGGAGGCAGGTAGAAAAATAACTTGATATCATTTCGGCCCCACTTGACATCTCAATTATACCAAGCTCAGGGAACATTGGCATCATTACATTGGGTACACCAATTTTACCTCCCCTTCAGTTTTGTTTTCATTAATGTTCATGATTAAACAGAGCAATATAAATTAGTTCTGTGCAGGATAGCACCTGTATTTCACTTCAGTTTTGCTTGTGTCTCCAAGGTAGAATAGAAGGGGTGATATTCATGTAAGGGGTATGGGAAGTGGTTTAAAAACAAAAGTAAGTACATAAAACCACAATCATGGGAAAATGTTGTGGCAGATATTAAAATCTTCTGTAAAAAAAAACCCAAAATGAGTAAAGACTCTGTTACGGCAAGACATGTTTTCATTTATATTTGTTCCTGACTCTTGCTCATTCCAAAACACAATTTCTAGTATTTCCAAGCAAGGGGAATGTTTATTTTAATTACTACCATGGTTTGTGTTACTAGAATGCCTTAGCATGTCTCAAAACCCTCATTCCCAAAACCCTTATGATGCAGGGAAGAGTTATTTAGTTATTTCTCTGTTTTAGAAATGGGAAACTGAGTCATGGAGTAGGGATAGATTTTCAAAACTATATCGTGCATAACATGTTGGTAAGTGCCCACTGAGATTTCCAGAAGGGCTGAACTCTTATCAGAATCAGTGTAGATTTGATGCCCAACTGTTACAAACCTTTGGAAGTCACACAAGTCACAGATGACGAACTGAATCAAAGGATCCATTCTTTTTATTTCTTTTCATTAAGAATGGCATTTTCAGAGAGAATCTCTTTACTATGCCTACTGTTAAATTTAACATACAAATAACCATATAAAGCTTCTCAGCTCCAGAATATTACCCTCAGAAATAGCAATGGCATATCTTCTTTGTAGTAGAAGAATTAATAACCAAGAATTAATAATCAAACCCAAGGTTCTTGGTGAGACGGCATTTTCTGAGGCAGATCTACACAGAAGTGCCTTCTTTTGCAAATTAAACCATTTCCTTTGCAAATTAGGCTGTCTTTTGGGCTGCCTAAGTATTCATTGTCAGAGACTGACAACAGATTTTTCTACCTGGATCTATTTTCTAAAGGCCACATAAATTATCCAAACAGTTTCCATCTTCCCGGGGAATCTCTCACGAGAACCGAAGTGAGGAGCTCCCTACTACAGCCTGGATGATATCTGGGGCAGCAGTGAGTGTTTCTCTTTCGTTCTCATGCAGCACCCAACAACATGCCTGAGACTACCAGGCACTGCTGTACAACTAGTAACAAGCAGTAGTGCATCTCTCCAAATTTCCAAGGCTTTTGTAGACATCATTAGGGAAAAGACAGAGAAAAATGGGGCTCATTAGTCTTCTGAGAGCATCTAGCAAGACCATACAGGGAGGTAGAGGTCTCGCTATATCATCTGCAGCCAGATGAGGGTCACTGAATATAACTGAATGTATTCACCCAAATTAGAGGTCAACAGGACACAAGTATTGGCTTCCTGCACATCCAAGAGGTCTGTTGGAAAAGGAAATACGGGAAAACTGAAGTTGAGAGAAGCATAACTCCTACTCTGTKCATGGCATACCTTCTAAGTCACTTAGAGTCAAATTTCTTAAGGCATTTGGATTCTCAGATCCCATAGACCTACTGGGACCAAACAAATAAACAACACTGAAAAATATCAAGGTGAGACCTCCATGGGTGTTCAGCCTCAGTACACAAAGAAACAGGAAACTAGGCTTCTCTTAAAAACTGACAGAAACAGAAGTTATTTTTCCATATCTTCCGCAGTTTGTATTTAGCTGCAGTGGTTTTCCACAGGACAAATATGTGCAGATTTTGGCCTAATATTAACATGCTATCCTCAAACAACATATCTGTCACTCACTCCTGCATTATGTCTAGTGCCCGTAATTTAAAGGCATGGGCTTCAGTAGGCTGTCCTCTATTTTCCAAAGCAAAAGGCTCAAAGTCAGTAAACTTAAATGAAAAAGTGTGGCTGGGAACATGTCAATGCTCCAGAATGTAACAAATATCTCCATCAGAAAAGCTGCTTTCTATTAGCAGAAGAAGACAGTCCTCTTCTGTTTTGAGACCTCTAATCAGCTGCTGGTCCTTTCTGCTGCATCTTCTACTTGCCATATATGTATGAACACATCTGTAGTGGTCTCCTGGCTCTGCTCTGTCACCCTCTTTCACTTCTACTCTTGCAGTGTTCTCTTTTGCTGGTGCTGCACATCTGCAAGCACAATTAACAACAGGGAGAGATGCTGGCAGCCAAAAGAGGGAACTGTAGAAACCAAGTACTGCAAAGCTTCTCGTCGGGAGCATCTTCTCCTCCCTCCGCAGGACATGCTGCTCGCATGGGGTGAGATTTGCAAGCACGGGAGGAAGGGAGGGCATAGGAGGAGGTGAGCAGCCCCCAATACCTGCCCAGCTGCAAGGAGCAGGTGCCCGGGCCCCGCAGCTTACCTGGTCACCGTTCATTTTGCAGTGCTGTGCGTCCATGGTGCAAAGGCAGCAATGCCCAGGGCCCCTCTCTCCCGCTGCGGACAAAGCCTTCTGACCTCACCAGGGTGGCCTGAGCTCTGGGCAAAGGTATTTAAAGCAGAGCACAGGAGGCAAAACCACCCCCTTCACCCTCTCCTGCAGCTCCCGCCCCCCCCAGCATGGGTGCCAAGGGGGCGTTTTCCCTGCCCGCCCCCCACCCACCCCCCGGCCACTGCTGGCACCGGCGCGGCCTCACTGCGAGCCCATCCAGCGCGGTGCACAGAGGCGCTCCAGAACTTTGTTGTTCCTAGGCGCGAGCGGCGTGGACCCGTGGCACACTTGGGATTAGCAGCCCTCCTCCTGCTTGCAGCCCTGCCTGCCGCCTGCCTCGCTGTGTGCCCGGGCTTCGTGGGTTTTAAGAAAGCCTGTCACCAGCTCTGTGCTCTGGTCTGGGTGAGGGGTTATCATCAGATCGGAGATGACGGGCTGTGCGGATGCCAGCTGTGGGGAGGCAGTGGGTGCTGCCGTGGGGGAAGGCTGTGGCATGGTGCAGTGCCTTATCGTTTAGTGAGGCCTTTGGGGCTGCATCCAAGAGGTTAGAGAGCAAGAGATTCAGCTGCACGTGCCAAACGTCACAGACAGCGTCCCAGTTGAAAGGAGGCACGAGCCAAGAGTTAGCTGCATAGATCTCACATTCAGAGATCAAGAAAGACCCAGGAAAGGGGAAAAGGAACAAGCAAGACAGGATCAGAGCAGGAGGACAGGACAGGAGGATGCAGAAGGACTGCAAATAGCCTGCATGACCCTGCAAGACCTTGCATGTAGTGTGAGACATGGAAAATGCAAGGGGGCTATGAAGTGAGGCTTGTGAATTAGCTATGTCAAGGCAGGTAATCTGGCTGTATTTTGTGATGAAGGTAACTCCTGTGATATACAAGGACAGTATCTACCCTAACTCGAATGGCAAAGTAAAATTCTGGGTTCCCAAAATACTGCTCAGGCCAAATCCTTGTATTTTTCTGTTTTTGTTTTCTCCCACCCCCTGTTTTTCCTATTTATGCTACAAGTTTATCTTTTATTGCTACCTAACGATCATAATATTGACAGTGTGGTATCACCAGCCTTCAGAATGGAGCTGTCTCCTTATGGACCTTCAGAGGTGAACTGATAGCAAAACGCACTGTCTGGGGGAAGCAAAGCACCTACTTTCCAGGACAGATTCCCAAATCCTCTTATTCTGGAGCAAAGAATTGTGTCTGCGTGGGTGTGCAGGCAAGTTTCTGCTCCAGGAATCATTCCAGCACTGTTACCAGTATGAACACACAGTTGCATCACTAGTGTTCACCTTGAGACCATTTCAGAGTCCACGCTGCCTGTGCTAACCCTCTGAAGCAATTGTCCAGCACACGAGGCACGGGTCTTTCACTGCAGCAACATTGCTGATCGAACCAGGATTCCCCTCCCGGGTTTAAACTGTCTCACACGTCTCCATCCTGGCCTTCGGCTGAGTTCCCTTCTCTTGTTGCTCTTGCTTGAGTCCCTCAAGAGCTGCATGACGTGCTCCTCACAACCACCTACAATATTTTCTGGTGTCAGATATTGCTCTGTTTAGAAACACCTCGTCTCCCCGAGTAACACACACAGAGCCCTGGCTCTTCACATTGCAGGTTGGCTGGTTCCTCTGGTTGGCACCACACGGGTTCAAAGGGCCATGGACTTTGGCTGCTTTTCAGATTGCTCTTTCCGTTCAGCTAGTGTTTAAAGAAGGCAGCTTTCCTGGGACTGATGTGTTTTTGGGCCTGGACAGCACTCCACGCCCACACAAGGAAACTGGGGCTATATCTGCCTGGTGTTTGCTGCCTTCCTTGCTGGGGCAGGGTGCCCTAGGCAGTGTGAGGGAGACATGAGACATGGGGGGAGAAGTTGCTCTCGTTAAAAAAAAAAAAAAAAAAAAAAAAAGGAAAATCCTGAAAAATGTCCCAATCGAGACCAAGTATCTTGGGGGCAAGGGGAGCAAGGGGACCTCATAGCAATATGACTCTTGGGTGTTCAATTACCAGAGCGCTCCAGGTGCTGTAGCTGCCTGCTTGGCACCAACTGTTCTGCATTTCCTCACATGCCAAGACACAACCCCATCGAAATAAAATAAAATAAAATAAAATAAAATAAAATAAAATAAAATAAAATAAAACAAAACAAAACAAAACAAAACAAAACAAAACCCCCATATACGCACATTGTGCTCTCCTTGGCAAGCCGGGCTCCTGCAAACCCCCCTCCCCAACAAGCGCGTTTCGGGGGCCTCCTCCGTCTCCCCGTGCGCAGGGCCAGGCCGAGGCTGGCCGGGAGGTGGCACTGTGTCCCCGCAGAGCCACGGCGGGCCCGGCACATCCCTCCCCGTCCTACTGGAGGTATCGTCTAAACGCGGGTCCCCTGCCCGCCGCGGCGCTGCCGCGGCCTCCGCTCTCCCCAGACCGGGGATGCGAGGAGGGACCCCGGGGGGGTCCCAGCGCGGGTGATGGACGCGCCACGCGTGGCCGCAGCGCGACGGGTGGTGGGGGACGGGGCTCCGCTGCGCGGGCGCGCAGGGCCGCCCATCACCCGGCGTAGGGCGGCGCTGCGCGGGGCTGCGCGGGGCTGCGCGGCGCGGAAACCCGCGGAAGCGGCAGCCGGGAGAGGGCGCCGCGGACCCGAGGGGAAGGACGACGAGCAGGAGATGGGRCCGCTTCGGCGGCGGCTTCTATCCCTCCCCGCAGCCCTATATGCAAACTGTCACTTCAGGTTAGCACAGGAGCTGCTGCAGCTCATTAGCATGAGCTGTATCTAACACGCTTAAAACCTCTAATTATTTATTATGCCCTAATTGGCAGCCCAAGAAGCGTCTCCAAAGTGAGGAGCACTCATCACAAGGCGTCTTTCAAGGAAAATTCCGCTGTGTCCCTGGTCAGACGTCATTTTTATTTCTTCTTGGGTCACAGTCTTTATTCCTCCTACAGAGGATGCAACGCTAAGAAACTTAAAACTTGCTGTCCCAAGTTCTAGCCTCAAACCACCCCTCCAGCCCCGTGCTCCAGGCAGGATGAGCGATAATTACTTATATAATCCTCATGGTTTAATACTTTGAAGACTTTGCTTCTCTAAAGGGACACATAGGAAGAGACATCAAAGTTTATCAGGTATGGAAAAGTGTAGCCATATGCTCAAAAAGCAACAACAACAAAAAAACTATGAGAAATAGTCACCAGGGTAAAAATAAAATCACTTTCCTGCATTCTGAGAGTAGCAAAGTTTTGGAAATTTTATGTATATAGAAAGTGTTTCAAAATAAGTTTACTTCTCTGGAGTCCATCCTCCATTTTTTATAACTGCCCTTTTTTTTTTTTTTTAATTCCTTCCAAGTTTGTATTATGTTTCTTTGGGTTGCGCCAACTATTTATTTATCTTTATTCTTTCTCTCTTTCTTTTCATTCATTAGTCTCTCTCCCCTCTCTTTTTTTTTTTTCCTTTTTTTCTTTTTTCTTTTTTTTCCCCCTTGTGTGTGGCTTCTCGGTCTGATCTGTAGCTTGTTACCACCCACTGCACGCTCTCTCCTGCAGCCGAGGTGTTTCTATACAAACTTCAGCGTCCAGTTGTCATATTAATTATTACACTGAGTAATGACTGAAATAGTCAAAATAAGCGGAGACTCAAGAGAGCTTTTTCTTGCTGCTCAAAGATTCAGCAAAGAAGCCTTGCAACAAAGCACTAATTGGTCCCCAGAAATACTCTGACAAGGCATGGAAGATAGGTTTCATAAAGCCCAGCAATTGTGAAGGGGGAAAAGATCCTTGAATAGACCCCACGCTTCTTTTCTAAACTCTCTTGCTGAGCAAAAAATGGACTGCTTCTTGAATACTGGACTGATCTTGAATGCTATACCCAGCAGAGAAAAAAATGCACCATTTATTGTAAGTTTTTTTTCCAGCTATTCATGTGTTCTATGTGGAGAATAAGCTGGTTTTGTTTACCATGAAAGACCTTTTACTTTATTTTCACTCTTGGGGGAGAAGCTGGAAGAAGAGGGGGGCGAGGGGAGGGAGAGAAACACATGTGCCCAAATCCAGACGAACTGCCTACTGTAACAAAATGGAGTGTAACAAATCCTACAGAAGTCCCGAATGTATCGATTCTTTGAAGATCTATATAGATTAACGACTTTCGTTCTGCTTTTCCAAGATGCATTTAATCATAACATAAATGGCCTTTAAAAAAAAGGGG